CTCTCCATACAAACAGGTTGGTGTACGTACATAGACATACGTCTTCCCCTAAGGAGCAGGCATGCTGGCTCATGCAATGGGGCGAATTGGGTTTTGTTGGCTTCTGGTAAAAATGAAAAAATACAGCTGTGACTTGATCCACAGGGCGTCAGGTACTGGGAAAGCAATCTAAATCAGCACTTCTTTTTTGTGAACGATACGTAATGTGGTGAAAGTTATTCTTAGTTTTTTCTATTAATCCTCTCAGCATCATGTCTTTATGTGTTCTTGGCATTGATAGGACTTGAAGTCAACTCTTTTGTTGCCCTGGATTGAATTTGTATTTTTTCAAATATTAGAAAACATTTTCTTCCACCCTTTCTTTCCCCCTAGACAGTAGAAGGCATGGGGGAAAAAATACAAGAAGAATTTGCCATGATAGCAATCAAGTAAAACTATAAAATTGAATAAAATAGAATAGAATAAAATAGAGTAAAAATAAAATAAGGAGTCAGACTTGTAACTCACTGACAGCAATACCAGCCTCAGCATTTTTAAGGGCACCAGATACCAAAACAGTATTACTGTCCCTCTAATCTCACTTTTGCTCTGACCACAGCTCACAGCTGTAACTGCTGGCCATCTTTCATAGATGCAACTGTGATAGTGACTGAGCAGCTAATGTTCAATAATACAGAGCTAAAGCTTTTCTTCTGGTGAAAGATCAAGTTCAGTGAAACAAACCTTTGAAAATCAGGCAAGAGAATCTGATGTACATTTTCTGAACAGGCCGAGTCTGCGTTGTTCTTTACCTTTTTTTGAGCAGCCTCTTCCTGCACTTGTTCTTTCCTTGTGCTGTTAGCAAAGAAGTCATTTCTAGCAGTCTGAAGGCTTTTCCACTGACATGAGCTGCAAGTACCTGATGACTGAGATAAACTTCTTAGAAGGCAGAAGTGATTAAATATTAAGTGACCCATTTTCCCTGAAAACATGGAGCAGCCTGTGCAGTACAGCATGGGTAGAGCCAGAGATGAATGCCAATGTCTTTCAACTCTAGTGTTTTTGCTATCATCACCTCCATGAAGAACTTTCAGTTCGATGCAACTGTATTTCACGCAAGTTTAACCTCACACATTTACACATGACAGCACATAACAGTACCAGCCATTTTGTAGTTAAACAGGGTCCTCTCCCCCAAAATTGAGATCCACACACACACACCGTTGGACGAAGGCATTAGCAGACAGAGCTGCTTCAGCATGAGCCTTCTCAGACTGTATCTTCATTCCTCAATGGAAGATGTTAAAAGCAGGGCAGGAACATCCCTACAAGCAAGGCCAAGTCTCAGTCTTTGCTAAAGCAGGCAGTTCGTTTGAGGGGGTATAAGAAATGATCATAAAAATGGCACCCTGCAGCACATTTGTCTCCCCATCACTTAGTTGTGTGCCTGGAAACAGTCCTGGGTTTGGTGGGACCAGCTGCAACACCGCTGTGCTGTGCTCTGTAAGAACACAAAGTTCCCCACAGGAGTTCTTAAAAAAAAAAAAAAAAAAAAAAAAAAAAATCAGGAAATAAAAGTAATAAATGCTGATATAAAAGGAACCACGGACCAAACACTCAAAAAGCAGCTGCTTCTTGATAAAATGTAACTGCATGCACAAAGGGAAACTGGAATTTTCCACTGACCTGAGTCTGGAAAAGGGCATTCCTCAGCCATCTGCACTCCCAGCATCCATATTCCCTGTCAGTACCAATTCTCTAAGAAAGAGGGAGAGAGAAGAGGCTGAGCTGGGAGCCAAAGGCACCCAGAGGAGGGCACAAACAGAACCAAAACTCATGAGAAGCCCTATGTAATTTTTTAATACAAATTTTGACCCTGGTACACAAACCAAAGCATTTTCTTTGAAGATTTCCAAAGCAGAATTCTGGTTTGATAAATGAGCATGTAAAAAGAAAATGCTGCCCATAAGACAATTTCTTGACAGAGAGCTTATATGTATTTTCTATTCATTTTCCTAAATAATTTAACCTCTCGTTTTCCTCCCAGCTTTAGCTATCGGGAGACTTTAATATTAATGCACATTTTACAGTCTCAAATTCTTTACAACCATTAGGCTGAATAGAAATCTCAAGTTTTGGAATCCTAATCCTTCCCAGTGTATTTTTTTGCCAGAGAAGGGACGGCTGTTGTGCATGGAGTGCTCCTGCACAAAGACCTCCTCCATGCTGAGGTGCTGCTTGGATAAAAGCATACAGTGCTATGGAAGCTGCTGACACAATTATCAGTTGAAGAAGTTATTATTTTTTTTCCTAAGTAGTTTTGTTCTGTAAATATAATTAACACAAAACCTTGGCAAACATGAAGATTTTGACAGCTGTATTCCCATTTTTAGCGGTTGATGGCAGCTTGCCCCAACCTTAGTAATAAAGAATATTCAGATTAGGATCTGTAATACGGGGTAAAAATAATCCCATTGCATTTCTCTACTGTGGGATGTAAATCAAGCAATTCTAGTGGTTTAATCATATTCTAAACCAGTTTTGCATTTAAGTTACAGTCAAATATCCTTGTTCAAACACAAAATCAGAGGCCTGAAATTAATCACACGTTAGCAGATTAGACTGTATGGTACTTTGAACACTAACCAGTATCGAGTTTGAGCTTGATGCTTTCAGGAATCAAACACAACCCTGCAGAAATGTGATATTGGACGAAGCAATTACCCATTTCTGCTCTTTTTTCTTCTTTCTCTGTTTTTATTCAGTGATGTACCTGAAAGATAGGTACATCAGGTAGGACCAAGTTTACGTAACATCTCCCCATTTCTGAAACAGGAAAAGGAAGTATGGATTAGAAGCAGCACTCCACAATTCTCTATCCTGTCCTCCTTTCAGCCAACACAAAGATTTCAGAGTATGAGAGAGGATCCATTACTCCTTACTACACCTCTCTCAGAGTAAATGAAGCTTGCTGTGAGAAGATCTAGCACACAGGATGCCAGCGAGACAGAAAAACAGCTGGGGACACTGGGCCATGAGTTTCCTGTCCACAGTAGTAAAACTCATACAGATTATTTTTCCTGCTAATTTTAAGCAGAAAGTCAATTATATGCTATTTGAATTCCAACCACCTTCCACATTGCTTGCTGTATTTAGTTGTCTGCCACTTCTTTTATTTCCACACATGCTTCAAATAGAAACATTGATCAATTTTTATAGCCATTATGCTTTGCATATTTGTCTTTGGGAAAAATGACAAACCTGCTCTTTTGTCAGTTCATATTGACTACCAGAAAAAAAAAACAAGGGGTTTTGTATAAGAACTTTTCACTCGAAAATAAAATACCCACCTTCAATGACAGTACTTGATAGCCTTCATTGAATGAGCATTATGATCCAACAGGATTGAATGGTTTTAACAAGGTGATGAAGTCTTGGTGCACTCACAGCATCTTCTAGCAGTCAGACGTCTTTTATGCCACCTGCTGTAGTGGAAATGCAAAGTCACAGTCTGAAACAGCGACTGAACACCTGGTGGGAAGGCAGGGCCAATGCAGTGGAGCTCAGGTGCGTGCAATGTACCTGAGTGACCAGAAGGGTGGAGCCAGGATCCAACCCTTCCCAGATCACATTTAAGGGTTGGCAATAGAGATGAGAGCATCTTATTGGAGATTTCTGCCTCCTTGAGGCTTTCCAAAGGAAAGCAGCTCTTTTCTTTCATTTCTTCACCTGGGGCTCCTGCATTTGGGCTCTTTCTTATTTGCTGGAGCCTAAGACTTTGCTACCCTGCTATTATTGCAGTACTTTCTGTCCTAATATAGCATTACATGTGCTAATCCCGAAGGGAGCCTTGCTTTCTAATTCAAGTAGGACAACTGCAGTAGGGTTCAAAAATACATGCCTGACGTGATGAGAGAGAACAGGGACGTGATTGTATTTTAAAGATGGTGTTCACAATTACACTGAACAATGTCCCTTCAATATGGAAGACTATAAACTTGCTATACAGTCATTTCAAGTGTAGTTCTCTAAAAGAAAAGAACAAACAAAATAATTAGCTGCTGAGATACAGGCTCAGTAACAAAACTAAAGCCAGGCCTAACACCAAAACCCTTGACCCAGGGTGGTCAGCTTAGGGAAAAAAAACACCACTTCTTGAACACAGTAATATTGAGAATGTGTAGAAGTACCAGTACTCCACACGAATGTGGGGGGAAACATTTGTTGCATTTTCAGAACTCTGGAAGTCTTCCTCTCAATTGCAAGACACATTAATGACTAAAACTCACACGAGGGAACAAGAGACATTTTTCTCCCGTGCAAACAAGTCTTCACTTTTCCATAGTCCCCATCACAGGCAATTCTGATAAGTGTCACGGACCCCCATTCCTGCATCATGACTGCCCTCGGTCCCAGCGCTCAGCAGCAGCCCTACCTGCATCTGTTTGGCTGAACAGGGTTTTGCTATCACTTCCTTGGGGCTTCAGGTAAAGTATGTGAGGAGAAAAGATCGTTTGTTAAAGCAAGTAAAGTAACAGGTGAAATTCAACAGAATCCACACGGTGCAGTATTTGAAATATCAAGTGTTTCTTTCTGCCTGTAAGTTTTTAGCTTCTTCCAGAGCTGCTGAGCAGTGGTTCCTGCACAAATTGCTGCAGCTGTGATAGAGGCAGCTGTCACATGGGCAGGGTGAGAATGCCTCCTGCAGGATGAGGTTACCCAGCTGATGTGTGAAAACCAGCAAAGAGAGCTGACACCATAGCACCTTCAGTGCCAGATGCTACTGCCTTTATATTGCCTCCAGATCTGCAGTTTTAAGTGAAAAGGGTGAAAAAAATAGCAAGTTCTGATTGCTCTTGCAGGTTACTGTAGCTGTAATTCTGTCTATAGCCACATAATGCGTTAGGAAACACAATTCCACACGGAGCCAAAGTCAGCTGATTGTAGGCTGTTTTGAAGAGCACAACGTGATTGTCCCAGCACAGTAATTCAGTAGATAGAAACAAACACTGCTGGACAACTTAGAAAAACATGTTTTCTATTTATTTAAAAATAAGTTTGTAGTTACTACATTGCAGTGACAGTAATTCTTACACATACATTCTAGTTTGTATAAAAGGATTCAAAGTATTATGCATCAAAACTAACATAGAAAGTGTCCACATAACAGTAAAGAAATTTCCAATCCTTATGTACAAAAAGAAAGGGCACTGTTATCCTGGTGAGATACTTCAGGTTATAACATGATAATCCAGAGTTCTGGAAGGAAAAGAAAAACACAACCAAACCCCTCGATAAAGCTACGGAATTGTAGTTTTTAAAACTGTTACTCATTACATACAACAGATGTGTTTTACATAATTCTGTACAAAATAAGTGTAATTTTTTTAATCTGAAAATGTGTCAGTTTCAAAATTAACCTTTCTCGGTAATTTCCTTAAAGTTGAGCTCAATTCTATACATATTTAAACATTATGACAGAATTTAATTCACTTGTGATCATTATCCAGTTGTCTGCCAGTTCTGCAGTTTTAGTATGGTCCAAAAATGTAACTTCTGTATGGTCTCAATGCATCAAACCAACGCACGCAGTTGTAAGCACAGAACAGTACATGTACATCACACAGGCACGTGTACACGCCAGGTACTTGGATTTCTTTCTACTCCTAATTTTTACGACCTCGTTCTTCTTTCGGGATAGAAATTGATAGCACAATACTACCTTCCCTCTCTAAAATGTGTAATTCGCATTTGAAGTGAATTTCCTGATGTATTTATCTGCATTAAAAAGGATTCAAATGACTACTTGTCTCACTACCTCACCCCTAAAAGCTAAATGGTGGGAACAGCACTAATCTCCTTGATCTGCAATTTAAGAAGCCTTTTAAACCAGCCCTCTTGGGGCGTTTCCTTCTCTAGCAGGTTGTAAAATAACATGGCAAATTCCCCCATAAGAATTAGCACAAGTGCCACAGTGCCTTGTGGTTAGCTGTAGTTCACCAGGCTACCTGCTATTTCCCCCAGACACAGTAGCAAGTGTACAAGCCTATTCCTGCCTCAAAAATAGGAAATCACATCAACCATCATTACCAGATTTGTTATTGGAAACACATTGTCAGCTGCGGCCAAACTTATGGAATTGGATACACTGCATTCTGCATACGAACAAGCATTTATATACAATAATTTACAGCAGAAAACAAACAGCCCTTCTATCAGTTGAATGCCTAAGTCTTTTGGAAACCAATCTGTTACAATGACTTTGGGGAAGAAAAAGAAAACATGTAGGAATCTGTAAACAGAAAATGAGCTTTTGCTGTCTCTAGGTGATGTCTGAAAGCCCTCCACCACCACAGCCTCACAGCACTGCTGCAGAGATGCACTAATTTTTTTTTTTTTTTAAACATACAGCCGAAAAAAAAAAATAACAGAAACCTTTGAGTAACTGTGGTGGACAAAAGACACTACCTTAGAATAAGGTAAGGACTTGTGACACAATGCAATTGCTATGATACATCTGTATCTCAACTGACCAGCAGTAGGCTATAATTACCTCTGCAAGATTCGCACAAATTAAATGCAAATGTTGATGAAAGTGAGCTTGAAGTCCTCCAACCTCCCACACAGCGTTTAAGCACAGGGGGAAAGGTCTCCAATTAAGTGTACTGCTTTTATAGAACCAGCCAACCACTTAATGTGTGCCTAGATTGACATTCCACATGAAAGCATGTACCTTTAGACCTCAGTCCAACAAAGGTGAGCAAAAGATTTAACAACATGGTGCAGAAATTCTAACAAGCTCAAAGTTACCAAACAGACACACTGTTGTTTTGTTGTATGTCTTGTCTCTGTTTCTATTTGGTAAGGCAAAAGCCTCTGGCACAGAATCAGAATTGGTACTCAAATATTTGTACAGCAATACAGTGAGTAATTTGTCTCTACACTACAATTTATTTTTTTTTAATAGATATTATATATCCTACGTGCTGCATCAGGGTCCTTTATCAATTAATAGTTTTACAAATATTAAGTCATAGAAATATTCAACTCAACCAACTCAATCTTACAAGTCTACCCACAAACTGATCACACGTACAAACCAGACACTGTACAAAGAAACATATGCAAATATATCACACGGCAGTCCAACCACTGGAGGAAGACACTTTTCTGTAGAGTCGTACCATTGTCATTGCTGAGTGACAATGAACTCCAGTCACTACTGACATCAATGATCAATATACCAGTAAGATTTAAGTTCAGTTCCTGGATAACACGTTAACAACAGAAAACAAAGTGGCAGAAGAGTTGTTAAATATGTAGGCACGAGTACAGTGATTTCTGTTAAACATTTAAAGCACACTGGTATCACAGAAACAGAAATTACTTCCTCATCCGCAGTCAAAAAACACACTGCTATTAAGATACCACTCAGTGGTCAATATCAATCGGAACGTTCCCCAGCATAGAGCAGAAATACCAGAACAGTATCTTCATATTCATGTAAGTATAAATGAATGGAACGAATGTAAGGGCGTTAATCGCTGCCAGGTCTGTAAGATCATTTGACCACATATGACTATAAACCTATGTAATATTTCAAATGCTGATGTGAAACGAGCACATGGGAATCTGATACTCTGTTTTCTGAGTTGTTAGGTACTTGGGATGGCATTACAGAACGTGCACACGGCTGCAAGTTCTTCATTATCAGAACAGTGATCAACAGTTTATTGCTCACATTTAAATATTTAAAACTTGGCCATCTAAAGCTCCTTTTCTGTCTTGATACAGCTTCAAATAACACAATTTTTCCAACCAAATGCAGTCTGATGGTGACTAAAGTCTCAAGCAGTTTGCAACCTATTGAAACTAAATGATAAAAATAAACCTTTTAAATCTGATATTAACTTCTAATTGTGTGTATGTGTGAGTGTGTTCAAAGTTACCTAACTGATGCACAATTGATTTTAGAAGTTTTGAAAACAATTGATTTATCCAATATGAATTTCACAATATTGCCTAAGTCACCACTGTCACTGGGTGGGACGAGCAGCCCTGTTCTGCAGATAAGGCCTTCTATTCTCATAAAGTGAAGATGGATAATTTTCTACCTAGTGTTAAAGGGAACAGATACTATTTAAGTCTCCAAAACTTACATACAGGGTATTTCTGATATATAAATATATACATAAACATGCCATATAAAACATTATTACAGATGGAGTAAATACAGAAGTTGAATTTTAGATATAATCTATCTCGTATATTACAATGCAGATAACATCAGGAAATTACACGTTTTCAAATGATTGCCTTCATCAGTGAGAACTGACAAAATCAACAGGTGAAAGCAATTAGCTCTGAATTATGAAGCTGTGCTGTAACTGAACAGCCACAGTTCATCTTACCACATGATCAGTGATGCCATTTTAATTGAATAATACAGACATGTTTCTTAAAAAATAGATATAGAACAACAAATGAAATGCAAATTGATCCCTGTTCCCCAAATTAATAATCATAACAATTCAAAGAGGATCTGGAAGAATATTACAGTCTTTTTTTTTTTTTGTAACAAAATGACTGATGAAATTACATTAAACTAAGCACGATGGATACCAGTTTGACACCTACAACAACAGCATATTTCCATTCCTCTTTGTGCCAGATATCAGTATTTGCTCAAATATTGATGCTTTCTTGTAACAGAAAATAAAGAGTGAGGAATTAGGCCCCAAATGCGTACACAGAATCCGTGCAAAATTAAAGGTTTTAATTCTGTATGCCCTTCCAGATGCTGTCAATGTTGTTTGCTAAAGAAAAGTACTACTAATAAAAAGAATCATTATAAAGTAAGGGTGTACGGAATTGAGGTTTCACGTCAGGTTTATTTCTTGAGCTAAGTTAGGGTCACACAGAAATCTGTCACACCACCCAAAGGTCCAAAATAATGCATCGTCAGAAAAATTTGGTTACATTTTTGTACCATACCAGATTTCAGAAAATAGGACTACTTCCGTATTTGTTCCTTAACACTGGACAACATTTGCTTTGAAGTGATAGAAAATGGTATTAAAGTTTGTTTGTAAAGGTATAAAATAACTAAATGTACCATAAACAAATAAATAACTGCTCTTCTTTTCCATAGCAGTACATATAACAATACATTCCCCTAAGTCATATAGTTATCATTTACAATAGACAACTTAATTTTACTAAGGATGCAAGAAATAATAGAATACAAGGCACAATCATTAAATGGAATTTTTCTTTAGGGTGAATATTGACGTATGTCAGCGTGATATACCATAAAAAGTGCAGAAAAACGCAATGTGCAATGAGACCACTGTATAAAACATGATTGCATAAAAAGTGATTTGGCCTTTTTAACCTTAATAATTGAAAATAACCAATCTTCCCCTTAAAATTAAACTATAAAGTATGACATTTTAAAATTTATTTTCAATTCTAGTGCTATCTAAAAAATCCTGAAAAAAATTTATACCTGGGAAATATTTTATACGTATGTGTTTATGTATATATTAATATATACACATACACTCTTCTTTGTAGGTCATTTTAGCCTCTTAAGCACGTCTCAAGTTGTAGAAACAACAATCAATCTGGATCTGAAAGTAAACATCGTAATTCCATACCTGTCCTGTAATTTCCTTGAATCCTTTAACCAATTGTACATTTTGTCTAAAACATCTCTGTCAAAGGACCCCACCAGTGCATTATTTTCTACCAAAAGTACCAAAAAGGATACAGTTCAGAACAATGTTAACAACTTACTATTTAAAACAATACACAGCTTTTTCACTGCAAGTTGTATGCTGTACTGACACTCAAAAAGAAAAAAAAAGGCTTTCCACTGCACTGATTCTCAGTCTTTGGCACAATAAACAGAGATTTAGTGATTGATACAAGAATCAAGGTCTGAAAAATTAGACATTAGTCAAACTTTTTCCAATGTGGATATATATATATATATATATATTTGTGATTACATTTTTGCTATGTTTGGCAGAACTTGGATAAACCAACAGCCTGTGGTAGGCTTCTTTTGCAGTTGAATGTTCCAACACTACTGAAATCAAGCATTTTCAGATTAGCAAAGTTTGGTATTTTTGTATTCGTACTTAATAGAAATGCAAGTGAATTTACTGCCACTTTTTGTGAAGATCTGCCTTCCTAGGCAACCTAACTTTACAATCAGAGTGTACTTTGCTTGGTCAAAAATAGATTTCTGTTTTCAGTTTGTGGCATTAGAAGTTCCGTCACCTTTTTTAACTGTGTAGAGTACTACACACCACTCGAGTGGAATAGTTCTCAACTCTGTATGTCAGCTGGAAACTGTTTTAATTATTCTCAACTATGAACAAAATGACTGTTGAAATGCATAACCTATTTGAAGGGCAATAAATAGCAAAAGTTTAAAATATATATTTCTTTCAAAGAACGTTCTTTCAGTTTGTTTTTTTTGCTAGATCTTTCTCCCAAATCAGAACATATTCTTCTAGCCCATAATAGCAGCAGGGAAGCAGAAGTCTGTTCTGCTGTTCCTTAACTGTACCTGCTTCATAGCATTCTGAAGTAAAACACCTGGTAAAAGTTACCAACCAATTAAATTAGCTTTTGCTTTTTCAGTCAACTTTCGGACTCTGCCTCTGCTAGAAGTTCCAAAAGTTAAGGAGGTGTCTTCAAACAATAGCTGCCTTTGCTCTTCCTCAGAGTCATCTTCATTGTAAAAGGCTGTCCTCCTACCCTGGTTTCTAGTTCTCATGTGAGGTTCAGAATCTTTAAGCTCCTCAGACCCTTCTTCCATAGGCTCATCTATCTTTTTCCTCCTGCTTCTTGTTTGCATTTTAACATTTGCAGGAACTAAAAGGTCCGAGCCTGACGAATGTGTCTTTATCTTTCTTTTTGGCTTTCTACCCCCACGGCCTTTTTTTTGTACCAAGTCTTCCTTCATATTATTTTCAGAAAGCGAATTGCATGCAGTAGAAGCAGAGGCTTCTTCTGGTACATCCTTTGTGGTCTGGACTGTATTCTGCTCTGCAACCTTTTGCTGCTCAACAATTTGTAGCTTTTTTGGTTTTCTGCCTCTTTTCTTGTGCACCACTTCACAAGTACTGTTATTAGCCTCAATCTTCGGTTTCCGTCCAGGGCCTCTTTTAACTGGAGGCTTTGAAGGCTGCCCTCCGTGTCCATTTACCTGAATGCTTCCTGATGCCAAAGCATTATTCTTGCAATCTGCTGTAAAGAACAAAATGAAACAAAAGATGAGAGTATGGATGATGCAACAGATTTGCATTTACATTTACTTTCTCACTACTTTAATAAAGCTCTTAGTAAGATTTTTGAATGGATTCAAAGTAATTATCAAACCCAAGTATAACTCAAGAGTTTCATATCAGTAGGCAGCAATGACCAATTTCTAGCTGGTCTTAGCTCAAGGTAGCTTGAGACAAAAAAAAGGGGAGAAAAAATACAGAACAAAAAGAACAGAAGAACAGGCGTGGTCTTTTTCTTGGCTGATGCAAAAGAAGTGACCAAAAATTTATACTTGTTATTTATAACAGCAAAAAGTTGCTCATAAAGCACTGTTGCAAGGATATGGAATATCCTTGCAGGTCATCTCTAGATAAATGCAAGTTCCTTGCAGCCCAAGGTATCATCTTTTGCAGTGATTTCATTAGACTAAGCTTATTTCAATAATAAGTGAGGATAAGGTTAGAAATGTGTGAGACAAAAAAACAACAACAAAACATGCAATTTGCAAAGACATCTCATCAGACAAATGTCAGAAGGAGACATTTGGAGAACTGTATGAACTATGAGGCTTTCTCAGCTGAGTGGTACCGAACCTGGTCATGCCACAGGACCTCTTACAGAGGTGCCCTGATACCAGAGCCCTTGCTTAAAACATGACCAAGAGCAGATTCATAGTATGATGCACCCACTCCTTTGACTGAACAACCATGCACAGGTTCTGCAGTGTTCAAGTACACTCCATAAAGCACTAGTAACACAGGGCTCCATTTTCATGAATGGTTGTGCCACAGACACCTGGATTTTATGTGACCAATCCTCCGGTCACGTAACAGGTACATGTCCTGCCATGCAATATGGTAATAACTGAGGCCCTTGTGAGAAAGGATAGCAAGGAACAGGACAGGCTATTTAAGTTATCAGACCACAGGTTGCTCATTTGGAAAGAACAAACAATCCTCAGAGAGAAGAGGATGACAGGCAGTAATCAAAGTAGGTGAGGTCCAATTTGCAGACTACTAGTTTTCCTGAAGATGCAGAAAGAAATGCTCAGCAGATCTATCTGCTTTGGTAACAGCTTAACATTTCAAAGCTTCTTCATAAGCAGGACAGCTTTTATGTTAGGGAGATTAATTTCAGTCTCCACAGAAACTTTGGGCTTGAACATATCCAGGCATGAAAAGACCAAGCAAGTTCAGCCAGAAGATTACATGAAACTAAGTCCAATCAACCCATATGCTCAACAGAAAGAGCAAAGGCTGCATAGCCCTGTCTTGCTGTGACCCAAGAAAAAAAAATCAGCAGGGATGCTATCACATTTATGCTTATTGCAATGGAGACCAACAGCATCCCTCTTGAAATAACTTAAAAGCAGGTAAAGATAATTTAATATATCAAAATTGGCTAGACAACCATGGAAACCATTGGTGCTGTGAGCAATCAAAATTATGTTAAGTGTTAAGAAGAAAACTATGATCAAATTATTCCATTAGACTTCCTTATTATGCAAAATCATAACATACATTAATTATTCCACTTATAAATTATAAAGTTTGAAGTGCAACTATAGCCACTAAATGAGCAAGAAGTTGTATGTGGGGACGGGAAGCGTTCCAAAGAAACTTTGTACCTTGTTGATTAACAGCAGAGGATTTTACTTTGCGTTTGATTGGCTTCTCTTTCTCAGGATTTTCTTTTGTAGAGTTATTCCTAGTGTTATGACTGTTATCAGATTGGCTAGAGACTGGTAAAATATTCTGGTTCTTGGAATGTTTGGTTGAATTCTCCAGTACTAGAAGGATAAAAAGAAAAGGATACAAAGAAAAGAAACATATTTATGAAGAGTACTTGATACCATGTTCAATCTTATCCGGCTAAAAAGGAATCACATATTCTACTACAAGAATGCAATTGGAATTGTGATCTAGGAGTGAAAACGTTTTCTGGATTAAATAACATACCTTAACCTGTTCTATTTTTCACTGATGAACCTCAAGGCTTGAAAACAACACCAGTCTTAACTGAGACAAACACATCTAATTTTCCAAAAAGCAGCATTTATGTTTAGAAATATTCTCCACATAAAAAAAAGCTAGCAGGAAAAGTAACTCCAGCAACTCACCTGACTTTCCTGACCCTGCAGTAGTATTAGGTTTTGTAATTAAAGGCTTTATTGTTAAAGGCTTTCCTCCCGAAGATGTAGATGGTTGCTCTGTAGAAGCCACATCTGTTATCCCCCTATTGCTTCTAGTCCTTACAAGAGAAGAGGTTTCAGCTGCTTTTCCATTCATCTGAGGCGGAGCATGTCTCAGTGTTGTTGATCGCACAGGTATAGAAGATGAAGAGGAGGCAGAAGGTTCTCCCTTCAGCTGAGGTTTTATTAATCTCCTTTTCCTTTCAGGACTGCAAAAGAAGTAAGAATTTGAAACCTGGATGACCACTCTTACATTATGCAGGAATACATAAAAATAAATACTAGTGTCTGAGACCACAGGAGAAATACAATCAATCATCTCTGTATCAAGTATGTTACAAATATGACATTTTATGAAGAAATATCTGTATTTGTGAGCCTCTAAAAAGTAGATGTTTAATAATGGATCACAATACATGCAAGTAAGACAAAATAAGAAGCTATCACTATCCTCAAAATACTGATCTACTGTATATGTTCAGCACTTACACTAGGATAGCTCTAGTTAAAGGTTTAAAACCTCCCACACCATAGCAACTTGCATTTCAAAGCTTTTGCAACACAGGCAAAACTAAAGGAAGTATTAAGAAACCATCGCACTAAATTCTACTCTTTAGGTATGTCAAACATGCACAGCTTTTCACAAATACTGCAAAGAAATGAACATACCTCGATGCAACGCTGCTGGAAACTGAGCTGCTTCTGCTTCTTTTTTTCCTTCGTCTCTTTATTGTATTTCTTTTATGAAAGCGCAGGGCAGACTTATAATCTGATAAAATAGAACTTATATGTTCTTCAAAAAAAGCAGAAAGGCGCAAACTCATGCTGTAGATCTAAAAAAGAAAAAAGGCAGTAAATGAGCAAGTTTTCTACTCTTCCAAAGCATCCGTTTATTTATCTATCGCAGTGCAATAGCTAGAAAAGGGTACAGACTAATATGGAAATGTTCTAAAGAAATATACAGTTTCTTGCAACACATTTACACTCATCCAGTTTGCACTAACTGTTCTCAGTTTGAAAAGTATATTATGACTGAAGATCACACACAAGCAAAAGGAAGATCTGGAAAAGCCACATTTCCAGCTGTCACTTTCCAACTGCATTTCTAGAATGTGTTCCTTCCTATATTGTTCTCCATCTGAGCCAGCAGTGTGCGCAGATGGCCAAGAAGGCCAATGGCATCCTAGCTTGCATCAGGAACACTGTTGCCAGCAGGAACAGGCAGTGATTGTTCCCTGTACTCAGCTCTGGTGAGGCCGCACCTCGAGTACTGTGTCCAGTTTTGGGCCCCTCGCTGCAAGAAAGATATTGAGGCCCTGGAACGTGTTCAAAGGAGAGCAACAAAGCTGGTGAGGGGTCTGGAGCACAGGGCTTATGAGGAGAGGCTGAAGGAGCTGGGAATGTTCAGCCTGGAGAAGAGGAGGCTCAGGGGAGACCTCATTGCTCTCTATAACTTCCTGAAGGGAGGTTGTAGTGAGCTGGGGGTCGGCCTCTTCTCTCATGTAACTGGTGATAGAAGCAGAGGGAATGGCTTCAAGCTGCGCCAGGGGAGATTTAGGCTGGACGTTAGGAAATACTGCTTTTCTGAAAGAGTGGTCAGGCACTGGAATGGGCTGCCCAGGGAGGTGGTGGAGTCACCAACCTTGGAGGTGTTCAAGGAATGTTTGGCTTTTGTGTTGAGGGACATGGTTTAGTGAGAACTGTTGGTGATAGGTGGATGGTTGGACTGGATGATCTTGAAGGCCTTTTCCAACCTTGGTGATTCTGTGATATTATGAAGAAACAATTGAGAAAGACCCCTCATGGAATTTACTTGGTCATACACAGGATCAAGAAAACTAATTTTCTTCTGCCTTATGTTGCACCCATACATCCTAAATTTGAGCACCACTTTATTCCTCTTAGTACTACTAATTAGTACTACTGCTGAGTTGGTTGCAGTAACTATGATAAATGAACTATGTAAGCACACAACACACATTTTTCTTTCTTTTTTTCTTTCACCCCCCTCCCCTCCCGTTCCTGGATGGCTTACAGAGACACAATCCAATCAAACTTCACTTTAGATCATAACTAACTGATGGCACACAGTTGCTATTAATTCTGAAAACAGAAATTCATAAATGAACTGACTAGATGCTTTAAGAAGGGACACAGAAAGGTCTCAAAATATGAAATACAACAACAGTATTGCAATAGTTGCCTACCCCATGACATACCGAATTATTTGAGTGCCAGACTAAATACTGGAAGTGACAGATACTGAGAGCATTTCTGGTGAGGACATCCAAGGAAAATGTGTAAAAATTACATACAAATGTATGTCTTATGTGCCAAGAAAAAAAATCCAATGGATTTTACATTTACTCTTCAAGAAAAGCATCAGTGATGCAGAGTAAGATACTAAAAGTATCACTGAATTGTTAGAGTGAGAATAAAAACAGTGCCATCCCTATACACAGAAGCACATAGATTCCAGAATAAAAAAAATGCCTAACCACAAAACACTCCACTTTTCTTCTAAGTAAAGTAAAAAAGCTTAATTCACTGACCCGGTCTGTTTGGAAGGACATGGAAAAGAATATAACAATGTCAGAAGAAACAATGAAACCACACTGGAGTTTAAACAACGACCAGAATTCTTCTATCTTGGTTTTAGCAGATAAAGTAAAATCATGACAGAATCTAGATCTACCCCAAAAGCTTTGCTTTTTGATACAACGACAGGAGAAGGGATTGATTTTTTCAGTCAGCTCAAACTATGAGTGGGACTGCTACTGACTGAAAAGAGAACAATCACTGATAAAGTCTTGCTAAGAACCCCCATTAAGACATTTGTTCATGCACTTTATGATGATAAAGTCCTAATGATTAATATGCTGCTTAAAAGTCAATCGTGAAAGCTAGCAAAGACATCAAAGCATATTACCAGAAGAAAAGCTACACAGTATGCTTGGACATGCTTAGGTAGCCTTCAACAAAAACCACATTTGTACCTTTCACCTCCAACAGATAATGCACCTATGAGCGAATTTGAGAGAAAATGTTAAGAACTCTACCGTAGAAAGGTATTTCAGTACCAGCTTAGTAACAGCAGCTTTGTAGGCTCAATTTTGTGCAAGATTTTTGGGAAACAGAACTGTTTAAGTGCCTCTTCACTATCTCACCACATCCTAGTGAACATTAGAATTCTGTTGTTGTGATATTTTCAGTTTTGGACAACTTCATAAGTGGAGGAAGTTGGGGGTACATATATGTTCAGATCTGCATGCACAAAGAAAATCCTGTTTCTTCTCCAAAATATCAGTTACACTCTACTACTGTACATACAGTCACCATCTGTGCGTACACCATTTCTACCATCTTTCCTTCAGCACAGATCTCCTTCCAGATCCACTTGGAAATATTTTGAAACAAACTTGCAGAATATCAGTACAGACACTTAAACAGCAAACTTTCTTTCAAAATACAAGGTTGCACTACCTTCTCAGAAATATTCATGTTTGAAAATCAGAAATAATTGAACTGATTACTGCTTAAAAAAAAAGTAATTTCTGATTTTCTGCCCTGTTAGATTTTTCTAAAACAATAAATATTCTTAAATAAATAAAAAAATAAATAAAATCTTACCCTTGATCTTTTACTTGGTGTGTAGGCCTTTGAATTGCTGAAAATTAGTCTCACATCTTTACACAACTCCATTGGTGACTCATAGTTACCAGCTTCCAGTGTTTCTCTAACAGTAGCAAAATCCATAGGTGTGTCAATAATATCTCTGTAATCCTGTTAAAAAACAGCGGAGTATTACAAATTTTTTTTCCAAGCCTCAATATATCATTTTGATTTGAATGAATTTGACACATCTACTAAAGTCTCATATTGTTTTCACATGCTAGCGTTAAAACAGGCAGTTTGAGTATTTTAATCTGATGACAGTCAGTGCATTTCTGCTGAAACCTGAGCAGTCCCCCAGGTGGAGATCTGACAGTTTAAGAAAGTTAATACTGGAATAACAAAAACTGCACAGACCCTGTTCAAACCAATCATAGAATTTTTACTAGGCTACAGAAGAAACAAGAGAACGGTCATATGATAAGAAGTTCAAATACCCACAAGAAGTTGAATTGAACCATCAGAACGTGCACAAGCGGTGCAAGTAACTCTGTAAAAAGCTAGGGAAGAGAGCATTTCATGCCCAAACCTAGTAAGGTATCAGCTCATGCAAGAATCTGAATCACAACGGCTGGCTACCTGTAGTTAGCCATGGCACAAAGTTAAAGTTTCTTCAAAAATTATGGTGTACAGAGCACCAAAACTACAGTGAATTAATGTCCCCAGAGCATCAAGACCAACCTAACCATTGACTTCTGAAGAGAATCCTCTCTTTTTTTCTAATTGAGAAATGATTTATCCCAGAGATTCTTTAGAGAAGGAAGAAAGAGATCCAAGGCAACAGGACTTTTGTGTTAAAACATTCAGTTTTTACAACTGGCTGCTCAAAGCTATTTTCATTCCAATGAAATCATCCTGGCAGAAAGCTGTTATTGTTATTACAGTTAATATCTCACTACAGTGCTTCAAAAGGTACTTTTTCCGCAACAGTCTTGATGACTGTGATATGAAAATTACTCTTAGTTTGTATACTTCTGAAATGAAAACAAAAAAATGTGCCGCAGTAATATGTGTCGCAACAAGCAACCAAAAATATTCACTTCATATGTGACCATTTTTCACCCAGGAAAGGATACAGGCATCTTAATCTCAAAAGCTGTGTACTTAATAACACAGTCATGTCTTTTAAGAGAGCAGAGATGTACAATTTATTTTGAAATTAAAGAGATAATAAACATTATTATGAAGCGACAATCAAGCACGGGTAGAAAAGCTCTGTCAATAACAGTGCCTGAAGTTTCAATTAACTGAGGTGAAAGAATGGTCACAGTTGAAAGAAACCTAACAACGGTATTATGATCAATCTTGCTGTTCTCAAACACTCACTGGATATTCAAGGAGATCCACCGGCTGCCGAAATGGTTCAGAGTCCTCACACTGAAAAATGAGATTCAGCAGCTCCTGGCACTGTTTCTTCCATGACTGAATGTCATATGACTGGGCCCTATTACGTAGCCGCCTCTTCGGCTGATGATCCTGAAATGACAATATTGTCTGCTGTTTATTCAATAAACCATCTCTCTTTTTACAAAGTCAAATGTAAAGGGTACCCCTGCAGGACACAAATTCTAATTAATTATTTAGTAACATGCAACAGAATCACAGAACTGTAGCAGTTGGAAGGGACCTCCAGAGATCAGAGTCCAACCCAAACAGCCCATGCAGAAATTCTTTTATACTGGACAACTCAGGAGAGTAATGCTTCAGTCACAATAAATTCAACACTTTCCAAAAGATGAGATTACATAATTAAAGACATACAATTTTAAATCCAATTTGTTTACAAAGACATTTCATATTATTTGATGCACTATAAGCAACAAAATATGATTTTACCTTTCTTTTTCTAGTGGAAGTTCCTGGCACATTTGTATCTTTCTCTTCTTCCTTTGAGCAAGATAATGAGTTGCATAAAAATGTTAAAAAAATATAAGCATAGATGAGTAGGTAAATTCTGTCATATTTCATCTCATAATTTGAGTCTTAGCAATTCCATCCATGTCCCTCTAGAAAGCATTTCGTGTGACCATCAATTTTGAGAATCTCTCAGTAGTCTAAGAAAAAGCTCTCTGCACTACAGGGAAGAGAGGAAGCTGGATTTTTACCAGTTTCCCAGCTAACAAGAAACATCTAATTGGCAGTATACCATACTCTATAACAGTGACTGAACAAAGTACTTTTGCATACAGTGAGAAAGATGCTTCAGTCTCATTTGTCCCATCCAGCAATGCCAACATTCGAGACACAACCACTTACCTCATCAGAGTCAGACAACACTTTCTTCTTCATTGCATTGTATAATAGAATTATGTCATAGCAACTCTGGTCTCTGTACAAGAAGAAATACATGCTAGTTTTATTTTCTGTCTTCATCTACTGAATCAACTGTATTTTGCATAGAGTAAGGACAATATTTATTAAGTCATACTTAAATGAAGTGATGAAGTGTTTAGTGCCTTAGAAATACTTAGAGGACCACATTAATAAGAAAAGCTAATCTATTGTTCAAAAGCAGCAAAATATTTTCTATATTCCATAAAATACAGAATGCTTAACAGTGATATTTCAAAATGAAAAACCATAATCCCTTACCATGAGCTTATTAGCATTAGGAAAATCTATTATATCTCATAAAGGGCTGTGGAGCCTATTCAGCTTTAAGAAACATTTAATATGTGTTTCTAGTTCACTTAAATGAGTATATTAATTGGCACAAGCTATAGACCATTATTAAATAAGAATAGTCATGCATTGCAGTAATTTAGGTAAGTCAATTAAAAACACACACTTTTAATAACACCAGTGTGCTTAATTAATCAAAAGAAAAGAAGCTATGTAGGATAAAGACATTAAAGAACTAAAATTATTAACAGTGCAGCCTTTCTGGTGTGCATCTGTTCCTAAAGGTGGGTTTCACTAAAACTTTAACATCTGAAGCAGTTAAGTACTTTTCACTATTTTTGCCAGTGTCTGATATCAAATCTCAGAGATTTATGTTGCAGTTACAGAAGTCTTAGATTTTCCAGTAAGTAATGTAATTCTAATGTTTTTAAAAGAAAATACTAACGCTTTGTTCGACTAATGAAGCATCTTGCCATTTAACCATGTAAAAGCAGATGCATCCACTGCCTACAAGCAAATCAGGACAGCGGGCATAATAAGCTCTAGCAAACTTTAGATTGCAGACAGTCACGACAAAGGTTTGAGACTGTTTCTATTGACTGCAATGCCTCCAATTTTTATTTTGTACACCAACCATCACTTTCAGGCACATTCAGCTGTAAAGATTTTAGAATTAACTTCCCAGTTATACTAAGAAAAGTAGTAATAAAATTAAATTGTTTTGTAAACACAAACTTTCTTTTTTTCTGCCCTAGCAGCAGACAGCTGGCTTATTGAAGCTACAGAACCACCTCTTTGTAATTTATATTTCAAAGAGCTAAGACTTTGGTAAGAAACTCACTTTATGAAGTGTAGCAGAAGATCTGTGACAAATTTGGCAGACTTGACAATAGGACTTCCAGGTTCATTAAATGTGCGAGTATTATGTTCTATGTATCGGACTTCCCACATTAATGAAGAAAGTCGTCTGTGCAAGAGAGATGAGTCAACATCATGGAAAAAAAAAAAAACAGTATCAAATAGACTACATTTCCAACAATATATTTTAAAAGAGGAGAAAAAGCCTCATATTCTTCTTCCAGTGTATTATTCTGTTCATTTTTTGACATTAAATTAGAAAACATATACACTCACACACATTACCCTACATGACCAGCAGAAGGAAGCTTCCTCAGGCTTTTTGTCCTCCCATGTCCTGACATTATACAGACAGTTTGCAATCCTCAGAAAGATTCACTTGTAATGCTTTAGCTATTACTAATCTTAGTATAGATTAGTATAGTATAAGTAACCCAGCATGTATCACTTCTTAAGTCACAGTTGAGAATTACCAAAACTGTAATGATGAAAATGTATTAAAAGTACACATCTTAATAAGTGGCAATGATCAGAATTCCTCACATAGGTCTGATTTAGTTCCCTGACTAAAGAATAGTCACAATATTGTGACTACATATACATGTATGTATGTATGCATGTATAATGAAAGCAAAATAAGTGTGTGTGCGCGCTGTAGAAACATACTGGCATTATAAGACTCTTGTTTCAGAAAAGGAATAATGCCCTAAGGGCAGGCCTCACGAAAAGCTACTGAAGACATCAGAAGCAATCTGAACTGCCATTTCCCCACACATTAAAGGAAAATAATTCACTGGAATACACAAGGCAATAATAATTAGCTAACCAAGCCCAGACAATCCTACAAATTAGTAAAAACCAATTTAATGAAGAAGCTATGCCAGTGACCAAAAATAACTGATGATTTTGACAAAAGGAAACAAATCCAACTGACTGAAAACTCCTTGCCACTGCTGACGACGTGGCAGTACATTAGAAAAGCCAAAGCTAGATCATCATGCAATTAACATGGAACCAGATGCATGTACATTATGGCATTATAAAATATAAAACCTAGGCATCCTTTAAAAAATGAAAATGTGATTTCCATTTAGAATACTATCTCCAGTCAGTACATGTGAAGTTCTACGAACTAACATTGAAATTTTGCCCAAATCAACATGCTGTGGAATCATAGAAATGTTTGAATTGAAAGGGACCCTTAAAGATCAGCTTGTCTGGCTCCCCTGCAATGAACAGAGATACCTACAGCTACACCAGGGTGCTCAGAGCCCTGTCCAGCCTGACCTTGGATGCCTCCAGAGATGGGGCATCCACCACCTCTCTGGGCAAGCTGCTTCAGAGCCTCACCACTCTTACTGTAAAAAAGCTTTTTCCTTATATGCCATCTAAATCTCCTATCCTTTTAGCTCGGAACCATTTCCTCTTGTCCTGTTCAGATGAATTCAACAAAAGCATTAGAGGGAGACTCAATTGCAAACCATAAATTTTCCAAGACAAAAAAGCAAAAAGTAATGTTTTAAAGGAACGTGCTCCTTAATGGATAATATTTTTACTGCATATAAAATACTATGATTGCAATCACAGTTTAGGGAAAATGTCAAAATCCTGTAAAAAAGGTTAAAAATTACTTTTGTTGCTGTCCAATCGTTTAGAATTTCAGGGCCAACAATTGAATAAACTATGCTCTATTTCATGTCTTAACATGATAATGGAAGATTTAAAATCAAACAAACAGAAGTACATTATATACCTATAGAACACTTACAGGTGTCTAAGGTTTCTCCCATTAAAAAAATATCAGAAGCAAACCTAATTTACTTTGCAATACTCACATGACATAAACAAGAATTGACATCACATAATTGTAAACTGCATTTTGGTCAAGAGATGTTCAATCCCTTTAGAATAGAAGATTAGACAAACAAAAGCACACCTGTGCACATTTCTAAATTGGGTATAACAAGACTAACAGCTACCAAAACCACTGCTGGCAATATTTCACAGTAGTAACTGAGACTTGGATCTAACCTGTAAAATCTGCTTTCCAGTCTTTGTTTAATGGTACTCAGGTCTGTAGGATATGCCACAACAGTGCAATACATTGGGTAAGCTTGAAGATCCACAGGGGCCACAAAAGCAGATGCGATATCTACACAGAAATCAAAATCAATCCAAGTTACATATCACAAAAACAATTAGAGTTCCAAGAATTTCAAAGTTTCCTCCTGCAACACATGCTATTTTTTCATGCTTGAAACACATGGCATTTACCCAAAATCAACAGTAATAACCATGCTAGATGCTCTGAACAATTCGTATTATTTTACATATACAATGTTTGCTCACATGTATGCTGCTAGTACAAGTGCTGTATTGCATACCCATGCTATTATGCATGAAGCACCATGCTCTTCAGAGACACAGCAAGTGAATGCAAAATAAACACATTTGAAAAGTAAATTTAAACATATAAATTACACATATAAGAAGATCTGCAATTCAGAATTATTATTTACAAGACACATTCATTCCATTTAGTTTTATATTGCCACTCTCTCAACTTCAAACAAAACAACTCATTAAATTCTCACCATAAAAGCCATAGTAGTATTTTGATCTCATTAAGATATGGAGAAAAGCCATTCTCAATATAAAACAGAAATACAATTCTTCCGTCTTGACCAAATAGCAAAGAAGCTATTTCGTACCGATCCACCATAAAGCCAAAGAGCACTGGGCAATTTAAGTTTATGCACCTGGCACAAATTTTGTTTGTTTTTCCCCCCAGCTATGCTTAAAGCATCATGTCTGCTTAGACATCATTCCAACATTTCAAACCAAGAAGGAAAATAAAAGAGAAAAGCAAATAACACCCTTAAAGTACCTCTCCAATGTTTTCAAAAAACAGAAACTCTCTTCTTGTAAAAGCTGTTAACTTTCTCTTGCAAACGTTTGAGCAACAGCTACTTTGGACCAATACACACCACATATGCTATAGTTAAATCCCAAGCTTAGTAGTATGCCATACAAAAAATGAAAAATGTGAAACTATTTCTCTGATAAACATACACAGTGAAAACAATCAAAACTTCCTTTCCTCAAAATTTTTGAATATAATTCTGTAATTTGGATTAGTGCATTTACATATAAATTTTATTTCTTCTGGAAGCAAAAGGACTCTTCTTATAAAACCAAAGGAGTCGTAATGTAGGATACCCATGAGTCAGAAGTATTTCAAAAATTAATAGTTTTCTAGGATTTTTGAACATAAGTAATTCAAAATCAGAACTGTCTTTGGCAAGCTATATATACGTAATTTACAACCATTGTTACCCAAAGATCTGAGACTGCTGACTTGTCACAGAATATACAAAGATCTGTGATTCAGCCAGTATTTCACTGATATATCTCCAGCTCACACACTCATCCTTGATCATGAGAACGTTGCAGTGATGTGTTTAGTGTTTTAACAATTACCTTTTCAAAAGCTGCCTTCTACTTCTAAAGAGTAATTGTTCTACAGCCAAATAGCAAGTGGCTTTTCATAAGTTAATCAATTACTTAATCCTTAATATTTGCTTTTACAGAACTTCTCTTCTGTTTTTTTTTTCCAGACACAACTAAGGTTATGTGGGGGAGAAAAGTGGAGTTAAAAGAAGGCTAATACAGGAGAAACCTAGACAAAGGAATCTCTTCACTAAATATATATGATTTTTTTCTATCTACCTGTAGTACAGTTAGTACTCTGTGCAACAGAAGGCTGGCACTTCTAAGCCTAATGCATAATTTGAGTAGCTAACAAAAAATCAAGTACTTGTTTTTACCATGCAAGACCCAACCCCCCTCAATGTCAAGTCAAAAAAAAATAAATAAATGAATTACCTTTCAAAAGAAAGTTCAGGTTTTTGTATGTAATTCACTATATGGAAAATTTAATATGTGCAGTAATAAAGTTCTGTTCCATTTAATCAAATAGAAGGTGCATTATTATTATTAGCAACATTAGCAGTTACTGGTTTTTGTAATTTCAGAAGTACACATAGCACAGGTACAAAACATAATACAAAAACACTTCCTGTAATATTCAAGCCATACCTAGAGTCATGAGTTGGTTTATGCCTGCAATAATTCTGTCACACTCCTGGTCTCGTGTCCTGGAGCCCCACTCTCCATCCAGAGGTTTGTAGAGCAGTGTTCTGCGCTCTTCATCTGTTAAAGGAACACTAGTTCCCAGTTCTTCTGGAAATACAGCTAGAATGTAACATGAAAATTCAATGAAATACTCATCTTTGTACCTTAGGAAATACATGAATCTACTCAACTAAGAAAAATTAATTCAAAATATAGATCATGATTCCACTAATCAAGACAAACATCAGTTTTGTATTAAAAATGTTTTGAGCAAATCATTCAGTATCCTTTCTATTGTTGTATTTTAAATTTAAATTTTTACAATGTAATTTGGTGTGCAAATCCTTTATTAAACTAGATTTACTGCCTTCCAAATAGCTAACTGCAGAATTTATTTTACAACCAATTTAGGGTAAACTTTTATCATAATTAAAGTTTATGTTTGCTTCTTAAAACCTCAAATTCTTGGCAATGCAGCCAGGATTTGTAGTGGATGATTTTCAGACAGAGCTTAAGGTGTTTGATGTTAGAGACTGAAACAGTCTCCATGGAGGGATTCAACCACCGACGGATTCAACCCCGTCAATTTTCTCAAGTCAAATACTAAAAGCGCAACTTCTGAGCAAGCAAAACGAGGTGCCACCAGTCTGGCGTTCTTAATGATCTACCAACTTTGACAGCCCATAATGTAACAGGTGGATTTTCAGAGCACGATGCACACTGCTCTTCTTAAACTTCCTTTTGTTTGAAAAAAAGTTATAAGACAGCCTTTATGGATGCAGCGCGGATACAAATGCAGGTTCAGTTATCTGCTTGCTGTAGTTATTTACTCTGGTCATATTATCACTCTTGATTTTGACTTGTAAATAAGAAGTACCAATTAAAAGAAGGGTTGAAATGAAATAAAAAGTGGAAATGAAACATGTACAACTTGGAAGAATGAAGAGTTACACATGGTTACTTGTGGATGACAAAATTAGCAAAAGTTTCCTGTAAAATAGAAGGAAAAAATGCTGATTTTGCTTTGCTTTTTAACCAGATTTTAATAAAATCATCAAAACATTTGAGTAAAGAAGAAATGCAATATTCTGTTCTTGGCCTGTGAACAGTGCCCCTGCTGTACTGCCCACTCTGTTGCATGTTTATCTGCCACAAGTTCTGGATCAAACAAGCAGCAAAGCCTATTTCGAATGCTCTCAATGGCACATGTTGAGACTTCAATGCACAGAACACCTGCAAGCATGCCAAGAGTTCTGAGAATAGGCAGCTCAAAGCTGACATGGGGCACAGGCTTATCTTCAAACCTCTCTAAATGCACAAGTTAACTGCAACAGTACACTGCCTACTAGGATTTTTTGTAACATTCCTGGCTATTTCTACACACTTTGTTTAAGCCTGCTTTTTTCCTAAGGGAAAGGTGTCAGTCCATTTATGTTGGTCCATATTTAGTTTGGTAATTACCAATGTTCTTTAAATGCACTCCTTAAGAGGTGAAATTGTACAACGTTTTTTACTTCTTTATATACACTCTTAAAGCAAATTGAGTTCTTAATGTACCATACCATTAGTTGGTATCAGCTCCATGTCCCAAGGACTCATCTTCTCAGTATCTCCATTATCCCAGCTTAAAAAATAACCACATTTAAATTACTAATATTGCTTAAAGTAATTTAACGTTTGTAACATAATTTATTTAGATTTAAAAGACTATTGTAATAAACTGGTACAGTGAGATGCATGACTGAATTTAATGAGAGGAAGTTGCTCAGTCAGTACGTCAAACAAAATATTTAATTATAATAGATTGAAGATAAGTTTGCTAACCAGACATTGTAGCACTGAAATAAGCTATCGGGATAATCGGGCTGAAGGGGTTCCTGGCTTTCAATTGTTCCAAACCACCAGGCATCATCTATCACTGATCTGAAGCGGTCACCTAGGTAAGAGCACAAAATAATTTCATCAATACAGGGCACTTTACTCCTATGAAGAAAATCAGTTTACAGATACCTTCAGCTTGATCTTGAATAGAGATCCCTTTAAATGCTTGCAGCATGAACAGAAATACGAATCACTTTATTTAAAGAAACAAATGGAAAAAACAATCACAACGAAACTCTTAAATTCTTTCTGAAGGTTACCTTTAAATCAAAATGAAGCAGTTAAGAATGGGCACAAATAAAAACAATCAACGGCTTGCAAGTACAATCCCATGACCCTTATATATGAATTTATTTCTTAATTTCATACAAAACTAAGACATTGCAATGTTGCACCTTTAAGACTAAAATCTACTTGCATTAAATGCCACATGCTACCTTAAAATAACTACGCACTGACACATCTGTACAGGGAATACTTTTACATGCTGCTGAGCAAATTCTCCTTGGTTTCTGAAGTGCTTTTCAGCTATGTGTATAAACAATTTCCAACTGCAAATCAGAGGTTCATTTCCTTTATTCTGCAGGCAATCTGACTGATAGAATTTAATTTATTAAAGATTCCTCAAAAACTTTGCAGTCATTTATGATGACTTGAAATGGTTCACTATCGCAATGCAATTGTAGAGCTAAGCAAAAAGGTCAGAAGCATTATTTAAAGAATTACACATCAGAATATAAGGAACACACATCACTGTAATTTTTAACACTTTCCATAAAACATGCCACAGAAATTAGAAACAATTTTAGTGAAGCACTTACTTCACTCAATCCAAGAACAAAGATCATTTAAATTATCTGAGATTCCTAGAACTGTACACTCTTGCTTTCAAGAGATTTGAAAACTATGCACACCACTTTCTAACCTTCAGCAATGCTTTTCTCCTCCTCCAACAAACTCACATAAAGGAAATAGCCCACAACCTTTTGCTCAAATGCTTGCTGCAGCTGTCTGAATTATTAACAACTACATATATTCTCAAGACATTCTGCTTTCTTTGCTGCACTTTTTTTTTTTAATGGGTTGCAAGTATACATATCAAATACAAAACTTCCATTCAGTGTGCTGAAAGTAGCAGAACAAAGTAATTCATACCAGTAAAATCTGAAATGCAATATCCAAAACGAAAATAAGGGTTGATGCTGTATTCTATGGGCACAGAGTAGCCTGAAGAGCTCTTACAGAACAGTCTCCCTACATGGCATTCCCCAGCCATCAGTTTTAGAAAGAGACATGAGTGGGTATAATTGTGAATTGTGAGATTGTGAGATTAAGCAGTTCAGAATCACATAAAGGAATATATATCAGCTGTCTCTTTTTATTTTTTCAAAAGCCACAGCATTCCTATGGACAGAATGCTAAGGTAAGAAGAGTGCATAATTGAAAATGCTCACAGATGGATCCCTTCGACAATTATTTTGTGTGATCTCATCTGTGGGACAAGGAAGCTATCTATGAAAACATTAAATCAAAAATTCTTATTAAAAGAGGGATTTAATATAATTTTCCAAAATTGAATATCAGCAGATACTGTCAACTTGGTGGAATTATAAAATATATGCTAAACTTACAGTGGCTACTATCCAAGAGGTATGTATGCGTACCTGTCTTAGATGAATAGCAAATGCTCAAGGAATCCTACCAGAATATGTTTTAGCTCAAATATTATTATTCTAATTCAACCAGAAGACAATGAGATGCAATAGATACATGCCTGAGTACAAAGAAAAACCTATCACTCCTCAACCTTTATAAATGTGTTATCTTAAGGACTGATACACTTAAATCACAGGAACTCTTGGTATTAAAAAAATACAAATAATGTACATGAAGGAAATATTCTTCCTTTTCACCACCACCACAAAAAATCTCTAACATAACAAAAAAAACACAACCCACCACCTAGGATCATTATTGGTTAAGAAATAAAATATTTTATTGACTTAGAATGAAGCCAGAATATTTAATATTCAGCGATTCTTCTAACAGTAGCTATAAAAATATTCATCTGTAGGCTAAGAAACAGAAAACGTAGAGAAATAAGAAACGATAGTAATGGTAGTCCTGAGAGGTCAAACTAGCAACTGCTCAGAACGTTTTAATATTGTGTTCTACACTGCAACAAAATACTGCAGTGTTTGTTCTAACTACATTAAGTATGCACTTGGAAAATACCTATAGTGTCAAGAAGAGACCAGGGTTGCACTTCAGAGGAGTCCTGGAAGAGCTGTAACAATTTTAGCATCAGTGCCCTTCCTAGCCCTGCTTTAGTGTTTCATATAATCTCACAAAAGGAGACTATTTTAACACTATTCTTACCACTCAGAAAAGGAGCTGAACAATGAACCCTGAAACACAGTTGTCAGAGTTACGAACTGGTATTAACCAGTAACAACTTGAGACTTACATTATTTGCCCAGAAATCTTGACAAAAGATTCTGGAGCTTAGAAAAATACTTTTTGTGTAGTCATGAATCTTTCACGACTTCAGGTTTCTCAAAAAATAATTGTGAGCCTAGGGAGGAGATGCTACCTGTCCTCATAGCCTTGAGAGTAGAAAGGCTAACAGCTTAAATTCCCTCCACTACCTCTGGATTTGTCACTTATTTCTGTCTTGGCTGTATATATGAGGCATGGCAGTCATTCTTTAACTACTGCCACAATCTTGTGGAAACACCTTTATAGAGTGGCAAAGGAGAAGGCCACAGATTAACACCTATCATACTAAAATGGTGACATTTTAGTAGGTGTTCACCAAAGCTTGTTTCCTAAGGGATCTTCATACTATATTAATCTTTACTGAGGAAATGAAGTTATATTTTCCTAATGATTTAGAAGCTATGGGTTTTCACCATACTCCCTTAGATTTGAAGACTAGCTGTCCTTTTGAAGAAGATCATAATGTGCGACAGGATACGGAACTTTATTAATATGGCATGACATAAGTTACATTTATATATGCTATTGGCTTTCTTGGCCCCCTGGGCACGCTTCTGGCGCATATTCAGCTGAATGTCAACCAACACCCCCAGGTTCATTTCTTCCCACAGTCTTCTAGCCACAGATGGTCAAGAAGGCCAATGGCATCATGGCTTGTATCAGAAATAGTGTTACCAAGGACATGATTGTCCCTCTGTACTCAGCTCTGGTGAGGCCACACCTCGAGTACTCTGTTCAGTTTTTGGCCCCTCACTACAAGGAAGACATTGAGGCTCTGGAGCTTGTCCAGGGTAGAGCAACAAAGCTACTGAGGGGACTGAATCACAAGTCTTATGAGGAGCAGATGAGGGAACTGGGATCATTGAGCCTCCTCTCGTCCAGACTAAAAGGAGACCTTATCACTCTCTGCAACAACCTGAAAGGAGGTTGTGCTGAGGTGGGGGTCAACCTCTTCTCTCATGTAACTCACAACAGGACTAGAGGGAATGGCCTCAAGTTGTGACAGGGGAGATTCAGGTTGGACGTTCGGAGCATTTTTTTCTCAGGGAGTTGGTGGACTCACCATCCCTTGGAAATGCCTGAGAAATATTTAGGTGTTGTACTAAAAGGAAATATTGATGGAAGGTGGATGGTTGGACTGGATGATCTTGGGAGTCTTTTCTAACCTTCATGATTCTGTGATTCAGTATATTACTAATGCACGCACATACTCAACAAGGATGTCATAATTTACAAAGGACAGGATACCAATTCACCTCTCCTGGCAGAAAAATCAGATAAGAAACAATTAGAAAGAGCTTCTGACATCCAGCTGTTCCACTTTTTCAGGCTACTTAGCTACAATGAACTTAACAGATGACATCAAAAAGGAAATAGTGAACTCAGAATAAAAATGAAGTGCATTTGCAGAAACATGTACCATACCAACTGTTACTGAACAGGCAATCAGATATACCATCATGCTGTTGCATTAAAATCTTCCCTTCATTTATATGATGCTTTGCCTGAAGTGGTAAATAAATAAATAAATGCCACCAAGTCAGCTTTGTATATGCTACATGCAGCTCCTGAACAGAAGAACTGCAGGAACTCGATCTGTACACCAATCAGTGCTAGTTTACAAAAACTCAGAGTTGGTTTAATATTATAACTATATATATGTTGTCTTATAATTCTCAAAACATGGTATAAAACCAAATTCATCCCTTAGGGGAAGAGTTCATCCTGAACTCTGAAGAATCAGTCATACTTGCTCAATCTTTCAAGTTCAGGGACAATCTAAGAGCATTCTTAGGAATAAGAACATGTTTATTTCATGACCTCCTGAAAGAAAACAGAGAAACATTTTGTCATAACGTAGCTCTCTCCTCTTGTTTGATTTCATTGTTAAAAGGTGATCTTTGCTGCTGCACAAAAAAGTTGACTAGGAAGTAGACCTGACTAGAGTTTAACAAACACTCTTCAGTATCCAACACTTTACCCAAACAAGTACAAAGAGATAGGAAGGGTATTTTGTTTAAATAATCTAGAGATCATAAATTTCAAATGGTTGAAAAAGCATTTCTGTATTTCCAGAAATAAGCAGGTCTGAAAGAACTGAAAAAAAATATTCTAGTAATAGTTAGGTTGAAAGAGGGCCTTCAATCTGAAAAATAGAGAGAAAGGCAATGCATGCGATAAAAGATGTCAGTTACCAATAAATATTGTATTTCTGTGAAGGTATTCTTCATTCCTCCCTGTAAACACACAACTAAGATTTTCTTCGCACCTTCGTTCACAAATCAACTTCAGTATTCTGTTTGCTTGCCTGTTGCTTCAGTCAAGGACAAAGTGAGACTCACATGCAAATATAGCCAGAGCTTATCCTCCAATTCCAGTATAATATAAGGATTTATTTACCACAACCTACCTTTAAATAAGTTATAATGAAAATATAGAGACGTGAAAACAATCAAATGAAAAGACCTAGAAACCCCACATAACTTACCTATATTCCATCGTCTATGTTTTGCATCATCAAATTGCTGCCTCAAAACTAGGAAGTCTATGACATCTGGCATGTCATGGTACCTAAATACAATAGAACACACAACTAATAAGTAATACAAAAAATATGAAATAAGGCACTTATGTAATAACTCAACACTTCGACTTCAAACCTTCAAAATCTACAGTTCTAATCACTGATTTTCAGAACAATCCAGAATTACAAAAAAAAAAAGTTCCAATTTGAATATAACAATGCTTTTCTTACTTCATGGTGAATGATCCTCCAGTTAGTTTACCCGTATCAGGGTCAAGAAAAGCTAGTTTAAGACAGCAGAGAGTAGGCAATCCCACTTCATACTTAATCCCAACTATTTTCATCAATTCTTGCTCCTGGAATAAACAAAATACTACGTTAGTTATCTTTAACTTCACTGGCGGTACAACTTTTTGAAACATGACAATACGAGCATACCGAAACTAGCAGATGTCCAACAGCACATGTCGAAAAAACCAAGTATTTAATTCTGTATTGTTTGGAATATATTTTGCTATGAGATATAAGTGAAGTAAAAATAAAATCAGACTAACTGATTTTTGCTCAAATAATTCAGGGAAGAAATACAATTGAAGGTATGATTTAATTTGGCTTTTAGGTTAAATTTTTTCCCCTTACGTCTACCTTAAGAATCCAATATTAGGAACATCTGTGTCAGCAAACTTCTTCCAGATAGTCTCCAAAATTCTTATATTAAGATACCAAAGAAAAATGAAAAAGAAATCGTACCCGTAATTCCATTTTATGCCATGGTTGTTTTTTGGGATTAATACTATATATTTTGTTCTTCTTAGCCATTACTACATATGCTTCATGACCTTGTCGGAAATAGTAGACCTAAAAGTGAAATGAGACAGCTGACTAAGATTTTGAGTAATCTAAGTAATAAAGAATGCTAGTGTACTGCTGTCATACAGCGTATGCACTCTCTCTTTTGTCAACTTCTTTTCTGCTTGGTTTTCCTGTATAAGTCGCAAGTACTTGAAGAAATTAAGAAGACAGACAAAGCAGGTATCATAAAAACTTTTCTGCTTAGAAAAGAGTAGGAAAGGATTTACACCACCATTTTCAATATGAGCAAAACATCCTTAAGTACATGTGAGACCAGAACTACATCAACAGCAAAACCCAAACCATCCATTTATCATCACACTATAGCACAATTCCACGACAGTAAGAAATCCCACTAATCCACTTGCTTATTCAACACAAGACAGCCCTAAGATGACAGTCAAGTATCACTAAATGGAGTATATAGTTAATTGAACTTTTTTTGAACAAGAAATACATTGGCTATTCTATTGGGAAGATCTTCACTTCCATACCACCAAATAAACAACCTAACATAAACAAAAATAAGTTTTTTAAGCACTTATAACAAATTATTACAAGTATTTTCCACTGCAAACTTCGACAAGTCAGAATCTAAAGTTTTAACAGAAATTGGAGGAACAGTTATAACTCCTTGCTGTAATAAAGAAGTAAAAAAAGAAAAGAAAAAAAAAAGTAGAATGAAGGAACAACAGCTTAAATGTGAAGGCCTCACAACAAAAAGCAGAGGAAATGGCCCTCAGTAAAACTACCATTGTTTTTCCATATGTTCACAAAACAGTTGTATCACAAAATACTATAAAGAGCATCTGTCAAGCTTCTACATTGACTGCTATTGAATTTTCTTAATGTTTTATGGCACTTTTTTTTCCTTTGACATAGAGAAGGATTTCAGCTTTACTTTACATCATAAATGTTTTATGCCCTTACATTTCAGGGCACTTGACATGCACAATATCCTCAAAGAACCCAACTGGCAAGCAAAGGAACAACTGTTTCTTGCTACGCAATCACACTTAGAGGCAGGGGCTACAAATAATTCCTTCCACATTTACTGTTTCTGGTAAGTCTCTCTATATACATACAGTTAACAAAAATGGATTGTTTATTTATTTATTTTGGAAATTGCTCCAAGCACTGCTCCAACAACAATTTAGGAAGCTACCTGCCAAAAAAGACTTTGCGCCCTTTCTCAGGGAATTATATTTTTAATCTTAATCAATTACTGCTTTTGGATGTTTGTGTTAGTGCCTGGACATAAATGTGAAGAGCAAATATCGCAGACATGTGCACTGTATTTGAGTAACCAAACAAGCTGAACTACCGTCCCATCTCTGTCATGTTTCCCATTGTTTCTCCAGACACATGACAGAACTTAAAAGGGCAGTATGCAAAAAGGAAAACAGAGATGGTATGTGCTACTCTTATGCACTGAATATAACTAAATACAGCACTGCTGTTGTTTCCTGTTTGCACAGCTTTAAGAAAACAAATCTGAAATCTCTCTGCTTCCAAATCTTATAAAACCTATCAACCAGCCCACCAAAACGTTCACAAGCCTCAAGACCTCTTTTTTGATCACATTTCTCTAATTAAATCTATCTTTTGTCTCTGTGGATCTCAAAAGTTACTTTCTAGTGAAAAGAAAGCATTCATCATCCTAAAACAAATCTGGGAAAAGCAAGCATCAGAGAGAGAATTTCAGACTGAGCAACTCCATTACATTCTCTCTATTGATGCAACTACTTCTACTTTCACAGGATAGCAAATCCCCTGCTCACGGTACACAGTTTTTTCAGCAAAAGAACGTAACCTAATTACGTATTACTAGTACACAGTGCTTTTCAGCAGGCACAAAACCAAACACAGGAGTTTATCCTACTCAGCTGGTATGGTAAGTCTTCTGGTAACATGATAATGATGAATCCCTGGCTACTTCACTCTATCCAGAAGGTATCTGGCACCAAATACATTTGTATGGATTCAATATTTAGAAAAGCACTGTCTCCAAAACATGTTTGGTAGACAGTCTAAGTACCTAAGCATTTTCTTTACCTGAAACACTGACTGAACAGCTGCTTCTCACTCTCATAATTACTACATAATTATGTTGCAAACTGGATTCAGTAAAAAAGCACAAGTAAAAATCTGCATGTGCAATCACTGGTTCAGCTTCTAAGTTGGTATCCAAGAACAGCTGCAGCTCAGAATCAGAAGTTCTATAAACATGTCATAAGGAAGGGAACACACCGAATGTAGTAGAAGCAGCAATGTTATTGCATCAGCACAGAATAAAAAGGTCAAGACAAAGCAATACTGTGTGCAAAACATTTTAAGTATGGGAAAACCTTTTAGAAGCTAAAGCAAATTTTAGCCTAATGAAAGAATGTTTTGAAGAAAACCCAAAGTATTCCAATAATAAATGGGGAGAAAACAACAGGTGATTTTTTAAGAAGGCAAAAACAAGCTGAAATTTAAAAAGAATACAGGGAAAAAGCTACAATACCTCATCCCCCATCTGTGGTACAAATGGGCACCGACGAGGAACAGTATCTGTAATCCATGCTGAAGGCAGCCATTCTTCCAGTGTCAAACCATTTTCTGCCAGGACTCCTACAGCCAGCCTCTAAAGAAAATGCACACAGAAGATAATATGAGTAAAATAACACTTGTGCTTTGGGAAGTACTTTATTAAAAACTGACTGCCAATTCTCTAATATACTTGATGTAAAAAAAAAAAAAAAAAAAAAAAAGTCAGCATGAAGATAAACCTGACTTAGCCAAAACCAAAAGTATTAACAATTTAAAGATTTTTTTAAATAACGATCTTTTGTAACAATCATTATTAAAAATGAAGTCTCATGCCAACTTAAGTATGCCATCCTCTTGAACCAATTAGATAAAATACATGCAACAAAAATTGTTAAATCTTAATTCAAAAGCTGCACGTACACCTTGACTTTTAGCTCTTTTTGTATTAAGAATCTATCTAGCAACAAGATCCAGTGAACAGTTTCTACACTTATCCTTCTCGTTACTTCTCCTTGTTAAAGCTACGTTTTAAACCACCATCCCTCAAAGATGATATCCAGGAAACAGTTAGATAACTCCTAAGGACTGGAAATCACTCTTGATCAGGCCTGATCTGACTAGTGAGATGCTGGGTCTTACGCTGAAAAACCATATTCAGGTTTTGTTCTCGAGAAGGTAAGAAGAGAACAGGGAAAGAATCTTTTTTGAGTATTACGTATGTCACTGGATGTCTCTGTGTAACAAAATAAGGAAGAAAACCTTCTGTACTGGTTTCTAAACCACTGACCAGTTTATAAAAGCTTTTTATATCAGATGTCCTCAAATCTTCTGCCTGAGAGAAGTCAGTCTGTTAATCTGCCCTAACACAGAAAAACTCTCTCTGATCTTCCTATGTACTCCCTCACTCCTGTATTAATTTTTAGACTGGCAGTTGCTGGAGGGGGATTAGAAATGGAAGTACCATTCAAGATCTTGGCAGCCAATGCATTAATAGGAAAGAAATACTCTCTTTCTTTAATCCTTTCTTAGTTTCTATAATTTTGTGCCTAGCTACAAAGATAGTTTGTAATACTTTCCTCTTTCTTTCCAGTGGAAAGACCCAGGTTTGATTCAGATTCAGAAAACAGGAAGAACTTTATGCCAGTAAGACTATGAGCTCTCTGTCCAGGAAGGCAGTAGAATTTCTAGTACAAAAAATTCAAAGATTTATCTGTCAGGAATAATGGGTATACTTAATCCTACCTAGGCTCAGAATAAAGAAATGATTTTCTGACACTCCTTTCAGCCTAATATTTTCTTCTGATTCTAGAATAAAGGTCATCTTTTAAATATGAAATGTTTAAGTCTGACATTTTTGGAATCAAAGAGTTCAATCATCACAGTAACTGGGACCAAAATAGATGCAAGTCCTCCTAAGACACTCAGTTTAGTTTTAATCTAAGTGGAAATGCTAGGTTGTTACCTGATTTCATATTTTAGAATAAAAGGCTAAAGTGGGGCTTTAACCTGTTTTTAAAATATATATATATATTTATATATATATAAATATATATATATGATTTATATATATAAATATATATATAAAAATCATACTTTTGTGATATTAGGCCATTTTCTGATTTTAGACTGTGTAAATACCAAGATACTATTAGTACTGACCCTATAACTAATGACTCCATACAACAAACTAAAGCTTGTTTAATTCAAGAGTACGACTGCCACCTCACATCCTGTATGACTTCAGGTTTTTAACAGTATGACTGAAGGTTTTTAAAGATAATATGCTAACATGGATTTTGGTTGTTTCATCAGCCTACTACCTAATCGGAGGCAAAATGAAACAGTGACTAGTCAGGACTCCTTAGAAAATAAACCAAAATATGGTTATTTCATCACATAAATGATATAGTTATTTCCTTAGGTATTGAAAAAATAGAAGCTTTGCACTTATGAAAGCACTTGGCATCTACCAGACAAATCACTATTAGTCTTCATAAAGAACGATTATTTTTTTTCTGATTGAACAACAACAAAGCAAACATAACAGTCAAAAACACAAAAATAACTTAAGTCACTGAAAGTTTTCATGTGCTGACTTAAAACAGGAACTATAACAAAGCAAACAAAACCCAAACAGACAATAACAAAATCCTGGTCAAGTGAAGTTCTACTTGACAGAAACATAGTTGAAATATAGTTCAAATATCATACATTGTGAAATCAATAGAATATGACATGACAGTGCAGACCTGAGGAGAAACTGCAATTAAATGGGGAGACTGTCAGTACAGATGAAAAAAGTACAAGTACTCTTAACATTAATACACCTCTCTAAAAGAAATTTATGGTCTAAGACAACACAGTGTTAAAGGACATATTACTAGTAAAAGACCTGATTTTAAATTAACATTACTGAATTGAATTCTGTCAAGACACTAAGAATGACCATTCTTCAATACACAAAATGCATCTAACCTTCTGTTTTCTCTCTTTGGGTTTTCTCTTCTTTGGTGACGTTGATGGTCCATCTTTCTCTTCACTCCCTTTCTTCCTTTCCTTTTTAATTTGCTTCTTTTGTTTTTCAGGTCCTTCCTCATCTTCTGAACTGCTTTCTGCTTTTTTTGTTTTAAGTTTAGGGATTTTCTTTGGTGGCTGCAGATTGATTCCTGCATCTGCTGTCCAGTCAGAGTAATCACTAGAGTAGTCACTACATATGACGTATGAAGGAAATAAAGAAATTAAAAACTAGAAGTACACAGGTCTATATAATATAAGCCAGTACAAGACTAGACTTAATAGTCTAGAAAACTACAATATTTTAGAAGTTTAAAAGCAGCGCCTAAAAACCTATATTCTGACTTCAATTTAAATGGTAGTAAAAGAAAAGCTTTGAAATCACTCAGTCTTGTAAAATCACATTCTAGTATCACTAGAATAAACCCACTCATAACTTGGTCAGCTCAGATGATACATTTTAAATCCTGAATATTATTCTCCTGCCTTATGGCTTTGAAGAGCTTTGAACAGAAGTTAAAAAAAAAAAATTGTACTCAAGAAGAAGCAATGGCTTGAAACAACCTCAGTCTTTGCTCTAACTTCAAGCTATGGACCAGCAGAGACGGTCACAAAGCTCAGACTGGCAGTCATAGGAAACTGCAACTACGTTCCTGAAGCGTGTGCACCTGCAAAGATCAACCCTCCCAAAAACCACCGGGAAATACTACTGCTGATAGCAAACAAGGGTGAATTCCTGAATTTTAAGTTAAATAATCATACAGATGAAAACAAAATCCTGAAAATTTTAAGTTCTCTGCCATCTTCTAAATGTACATTTTTGTTATCACTGGTTGTTTGCGTAAAGATAAGATTCTATAAAATTTGTAAGTAGAACATTTCTCTATGAGGTATACTGTCACTTACCTAGAACTGCCATCACTGTGCCATGCTCTTTCATCATCTTCTGATGTTCCACCACTGGCAACAACTACTTCCCCTTCCTAACAAAGGGCAGAGAGGAGTGGGGATGGACAATGACAGGAAAAAAAAAAACAAAGCATTTTCTTTGGAATTCAGACTTATTTAAATGAAAGGAAATAAAGAATTTATGTAGAGATGCATAGTACACAGCAATATTTCTCAATACACAGTCGAGCCCCTAGTGCTTCTCAATCCTGATTTCAAAAGGCTAGCTTATCTCTAAAGAAAATTATTTCCAAAAGTCTTTAATGTAGAACTTCTCTATTTTTCTTTATTTTTTAATTACTATGAAAGAAAATTAGGATGAATGATAAACACCCATTTCTCCACTGTAGCTACATCACAGAAGCACAGGCTGCAAGGGACCTCTAGAGGCCATCTTGTTCAGCCTCCCTGCAGGTGACCATACTAATAGGCTAAACAGGCCATACTTTTAGGCTCATCAATCGAGGAAAGATTTAATATTGCAGGCATTTATTTTGCAAAATCACTTTTGTCAATTTTTATGCAGAACTGAACACAACTGCACATGAAAACATGATTCAACAGTGATTTTTAAAGAAATGAAAGTGCTGAGTTTTAACTAGAAGCTTAATTAGCTGAAACAGGAGCTTAACAAAAACAGAAATGGAACTGAGGATATCTTACATCTGAGGAAGAGTGTCCATTTTCTAACTCTTCAGCAGGCCTTGCAGGTTCTTCTGCTGCGTATCTTGTGCGGTAGTTGTGCTGGTTAGCTTGCTGTTTTCTTGATTCACTGGTGTCTAGTAAATGATCATGAGAATGGTTCTGTGAAGACATGAAAATCAAAACAGATTATTTTTGAGTATATATATTATTAGCACAGACGATTGCATTTAACATTTGTATTACAGGAAGCAATCTTCGCTGTAGCTAAGACAATACAAGTTTCAACATCAGAAAATTCAAAACACATCACAAGTATAAAACTAAAGCTGTCTAGAGGAGAACAGACTCTTTGGAGAACTCAAGCACGTCTTTTTTTCCATCTAAAGGGTCAGATCTGTGAAAGACACCACACACTAATGCATCCTAGTAATAGTCATCTCTATATGCTAAGTCAAGGCTTTTAAATGGTAACACGATGCACAAAAGGATTCAAATGAATGAAAGTCACCTGTAAAGAAGAAGTTCTTACGATCGCAGAAAATGTAATGCAAACAATTACTTTAACATTTGAACTACGTAACTCTATATTGATCTCCTATTCTTATAGAAATTTAAGTGCTATAAGCTTGATTTCACGATTTTTGTTGCAATATTTTTGGCATTTATAGTTGAACTTCAGGCCTGATCAGTCTCAAATAGCTTCTGCACTCATTCCTAGATGCCACAAAAGGTGGTATGCTCCTCCAGTGTTCCCTTTCTTCCCTAAAGGAAATCTGATATTTATCAAGTGCTGATATTGTTGACAAAACATCAGCAGAACTGGACCAAAACACAGAAAGGTATTAACATTATCAGAGCATTCTAGTAGGACAGACAGCTTGTAGCTATTCCTCTCAGACTTTTTTTTTCTTGAACAATGAAATTTTGTTGTAACAAGATTTCATGAGGTTTATATCAACTCACTTCCACAACAGAATTAACTGTAATGTTATGCTGCCCGTTTAAGACAAAACAATGACATTAGCCCTCATGGAGATTGACAAAGTTATTCTGGGGTGGGTCCCATCATCCCAAAGTCAAGATCTGCCCCGTTGTTGAGGCCCACACAGTGTAAAGTGTAAAAAGTTTCCAGCCCTAAAACATTCATATAGCATCCAGAAAGGGAACAAGCTCTGAGTGCTGCAGTAATAGGGACAATCTCATCAGAAAAACTCAAACATTGTAAAGGAAGCAGAAACAGACAAAAAAAAAAACAAGGGATGAGTAATAACCTCATCACTGGAGGCTTTCAAGATGCAGTTGTGGATGGTGCTAGGTAATCTCATCTAGGCTCCCTTTTCCAATGAAATGTTGGACCTGATGATTTCTCGAGGTCCCTTTCAGACAGGGTTGTTCTGTGACTTTGTGATCTTTCCTGTCCCTATATGATGAAAGTTGGCTCATAAGGTTAAATTTTCCTCAAAAAAAAAAAAAAAAAAAAAAAACTGATTAAATGTTAAAAAAAACAGTAAAACTTGACTAAGCAGCCATGATGTGGTTTTCCTTAGTCAAATGCAGAAGCCTGATAGCTAGAGCTTTTCTCCTATCCGCTATGTTACAAGATGCATGCCTTATTCAGGAATGACAGCACCCATCCACCTGGGTAGTTCAGCATGCTGTGCAATTCCATTATGGTTTCCATCACAGTGCACAGGACCAATATACAGCACTCCGTGTTCTATTAAGTGTGTGTTTCTTCCATTCTGTTCAGTGAATTCAAGCTGGGGAAGCTACCCATGTCCTCTTCTTGAGAAGCTGACAGCACAGCTGCTTGAAGACACTTCTAGCAGGATTGTTTAGCAAACAGCATCTCAAGATTGCCCAGACTTTTGAAACCAGCAGCACTCCTTCTGGACTCAAGCTGGCAGCATACGGCAGATCTCTTTGGGCTGCATTGACCTCACCCAGACCAGCTCTAAGGCAGCCTTTAAGACTGCCTTAGACCTAGACTGCTCAGCCCATCACACAGTACATTCTGCTCTCAGCCTTCTGGGGCTGCTCACTTCTTGTTAGGCTCTCAGGATTGATTACTGACAGGTTACAAAAGCCACTGTTACAACAACTTGTTTCTGCTACTTTCATAGAATACCCACTGGTATTCTATCACTGCTTTTGTATAAGGCCCATCCAGCATCACGAAATATTTTATGAAGAACTATTAACAACAGAAATGGGATTGGCTAAGTCCAATGTAACAAATGAGTAAAGTATCCTCTATAACTCCAAAATTAATGCTTATCGAAGCTATGGTACAACTACACCGAATTTGCTTACTTATCTTCTCTATAGAACTAAAACTCCTAAAAATTCACATACCAAATTCCATTCAGAAATAAGATTTCTCAAATGGTTATTATAAAATGCCTTTATCCTAGTTATGTTGGAACTATGGGTTCCCTGAAGAAAAAAAAAAAAAAAAAAAAGGTAATTTGCACTGCTATTTGGCCTTGGAAAGAGTTCAGTTCTTCTGACAGTTTGGAGGGTCCCAAAAAAGAAAGAAAAAAAAAAAAAAAAAAGAAAAAAAAGAAGAAGAATCCCTATCCCTAACCACCTATTAAAGCAAGTAATACCACTGTTCACATATGGTATCAGGGTGATGACAAAGGGTAACAAGCTTTTTTGGGAAAGATACAGTACCAAAATATGAATTCTAAAAAGTTGTTACCCATGAGGAACAAAATCACAGAAAGGCTGAGGTTGGAAGGGACCTCTGGAGATCATCTCTGCTCGAGCAGAGACCAAAAAAGGTATACAGCTTTCACATCCTGCCAAAATAATTGCAATTTAATATCATTCCTATTCACCATAGCATTGCCAACACTTGATGAGAAGCTGTAGGTGAGGCAGATTCTCATTTAGTTGGTGGTGATTGTGTGGCACTATGATAAAGTTTTGAGTGGAAAGAAAAGGTAGCAAAAGCTGGTTTTGTTGTGTTTTGTTTTTTTTTTTGTTTTGTTTTTTGCCAAAATGGAAACCATGACCAAACTCTTCAACAATGGCTGAGGGAACACAGCTGATAGGTTTTTTTTTCAATAGATATTCCGAAGAAAAGAGTTTGAAATTGCACTCTCAACTCTAATGGGAAGTTAGAAAATAAAGCCAAGATTACCTATGATTTGAGGTTCAATCATCACTCTCACTCTCTCTGTATACTTTGATGAACTGTCACACATGCTGACAAATACCTTGTATCATATCCAAGGCTTCCATTCTGTATTAGAGCACATCTATTGATACATTAGAAACTACGGCTTCTGTCAGAACAATTTTTCTGTGAAATACAAGTGATGGTATTTCCCGTATTTGAAAGGGACAGATACATATCATCCGGTCAGAGCTGAAGGACTTCTTAACACCATTTCTGAAGACCCACTAATACAGTGAAAACTCAGAGGTGTCCTAGCAACTTTCAAATTAAAGCACTGCCTTCTACTATCCTTAAGACCTTGACTCCACAAGGAAGCACAGCGTTACTATGCTTTTATAAGAGTTGCAGAAATCTTGATAAGCTATCATATTGTTTCTTCACCAGCAGGATGTGCTCAGAGAATCATTCCTGCTTTCTTACAACAGGAATTAGCCTTTACTAGCAAATTAAGCAGCAGTTGGTCACAAGCAAGTGTCCAATATTAGAACCCCAATATCAACAGATGCTCACAGCCTTCTTAAGACAAAGAAAGGAAACTTAGGGTTGTGGGTGCTTTGGATTTTTTTCTTTGCCTGTGTACACTTTTCCCAATGTCATATTTGATACATTATAAATTTTAAAAAATGGTTTGCCAAATATTAGACTTTAAGCAAAGCTACAGGTATTATTAAATACGCTATTCACAACTGACTTTCACCACACTCTGAAATAAAAATGTGTAATAAGACTTTGGAATTTCCTTAAAAAGTTATTATAGATGCTTTCTGTTTTTCCCTATCGATCTACACTTTGGCTTGAAACCCAAAATGCTACACAGTTGGCTCCTGCTCTCCTTTCCATCTTTTTTCTTTGATATTTCTGAGTCATTTTATTAAGAAAATATTACTTTATCATTATCATATGACAAACAGAAATTTCACAGGTTGATATAAAAACAGAATTTCCTCCTGCACAAATGTAACTGAAATTTAATGAGTACAATGTTTAACCTTTTTCTAGATCAGCTGACATTACTGTAGAATGACATATATTCTACAATTCCTTATGCTGTAACTTTTAGGATTGAATATTACTGGAAAGTAATGTTTCTCCAATATTACACTTAAAGTGATCCCCATCTTCTTTCGACCATAAGCTCTCTCACAAAACTCTTAAGAATTTGCTAAGCTACAAAAAAAAGTTGCAGTCTCAACATCACTGTAATATAAATTACAAGGCATGAGTATCAAAATCTGCTTTTTCTGAAAGATCAGAAAGATTTAAATGGTATTTTCTAGTTCTATCTTCAAGAACACAAGTTGTAATTAAAGCCACACAGTCACTGTAAAGAATCGCAACAAAAGAGCTGCTGAGTTAATTTCCATTAAAAATAAAATCAAAAATACCTCACTACAGTTTTTGAAATGAGATCAGTCTTGCTTTGCTTCCCTTGTCCTTCATTTTATTACTGCCATTACAGAAGATGACAAATTCACATGACCATTCCTACTGTTTTGACTCTACAAAGCAAGAATGTACTCATGCTCACTGTATGCAGCAATGAGAAATACTAAAATCACAGCATTTTATCTAACTGGAAAACTTAACCAATTGGGATCAAGCAGCATTTTCTCCCTGCAGATCTGCTTATTTCAGGTCCATTTGGTATCTACTTACATCTGAGTCCCTCTGACGCTTATTTCAAGGGATTTTAATCATCATTATGTTTCTCATCAACTCAAGTCCTCCAGTAAGAAAGATTTAACAAAGAATAAACAAACTATCAGTTTTCTTTTCCAACATTTCATGAAAAAGAAGTATCATGTGTGGTACCAGAAGGATTTCTGTAACTGGATTACTGAATTCATCAAGAATTATTAAATGGAAAACTTCACATACTAAAAAGCAGAGATCTTGACTGTCTGCTCTTTCCTCAGAATAAAGGTGTAAAGTGCCCAATGCGGTGGCCAAGTTACCTCACCCATAACCCGTACATTCTGGGCATAAAAATCCAGATCACACATCTTTCAGACCCGAGATAAATGAAGAGTACACTCTTCTCTGTGTTAACATAAGAAAATGATAAAAGTTTTTGCAAAGCTACATTTTCCTCTGTAGGACTGTAAGGGAATAAATATCTACAATATATAGGACAACAGCTATATTCTTTTCTTTCTTTTGAAGATGTAATAAATGCAATTGCTGAAACCAAAATTCCAGACCAACTAGTCTATTCTACTGTTCTTATGCTCTAGTGATATTTTAAGAGAACTATAAACCAATTAGAAATACAAGGATAAGCCAGTAGAAATTCTCAGATAGACCTTTTGACTGAGCCATAGCTGATGTAAGCAGGAAGAAACTCTACAATTAAGTATTAAAATGCATCCCCTCAGTTCAACTTTATTAAAATTAGTGAGGCCCAGCTTCCATTGTTTCTGAGAGAAAGAGTTATTAAATTTTATGATATTCTGCCATGACCACCTCCAAAACCATGAAGGACAAATAGCTTCATATCTCTGGATAATAAATTTGGCAGGTAAATTGCAGGAAAAAAAATGTTCAACTATTCTTGAGCAAACACTTAATTGCAAAGCATGTAATTTAAATGCAAGAAATTTGAGAAAGAAACTGAAAGCAGTACTCAGCATCTGAAATTTAAGAACGTTAATTATATATCACAGGAATTAAGTGTGTGGTCAATAGCTGCGCAGTATTTATACATTTGGTTTCTTAGATTTTTCCACATTTGACTTCATGATTTTTTACTTTTCAGTGGACAACTTGCAAGCAATCCTGGAGGCATGTATTTTCCTAAGACCTTAATTATAGTCTCTTCTAGAATATTACAGAAACCAAAGTATGCGTTCTCCTTTCCATTTGTTTAACATTTACTTCTTTCATTACAGATTCTGGTTGGTTATTTAGCTTAAATAAATGCTAAACTATTGGTTGGTTATAAGAGCATAAAGAGAATGCGATGCACACATAAAAGTGATTTCTAAATTAACAAGACGTAAAGTCATTTTTGTAAATACAGAATACACAGCCTTCATTTTCTTACTGCTATAAAGACTGATAAGATTAACTTTTTTTCAAAGGTTTATGAAAACACCAAGTTTATTTGTAGCACAGCCTGCTCCCTTCTAGTTCTTCTTTCCCCTTTTACTCTTTTCTGAAAGATACATCCTTGGTTCAGCAAAATGCATGATTTAAGAAATACCACCGAAATTTGCATTACGCTCATTAGCTCAGCAAGACAGAAAATACCCAATTCTTCAATTGGAGACTAACTTAAATGCATTAAAGAACTATGACTTAAGTTTTAATGGAACGTTTCCACAGAACACTACGTCAAACTCTAGACATCTGCATCAAGATGTATTGATCAACAGTGACAGCCACCCTAAAGCAAAACACATTCCCAGATCCGGATTCATAACACTTCTCATGCAGGGGAGTTCCAAGAGCAATCTCAGATTATTCAGGACACAGTGAAACATCAGTATGGACACATGCTCTCATTCTGCGGAGGTAAGCAAAATCCCGTACCCCTGGCTTTCAAATTTAAAACTGAGAATAGTTATGTAAACTCATGTGGCCTAACAAACAGCATTTATTATATGCTTCTTACTGTGATAAAGTACCAGAGTTTGTTTACCTTAGAGAAAGTAGGTATTTTGTTCTCTCTCTGAATGTGACTCATTACGTGCTTTCTTTTCTCTTCTGATCGATAGACCCTTACTTCTTCTTCTCCCTTCGCTGTTCTCCATTCTTCCTGCCTACTGAAAATAGAAAATTAAAGTGTTAACCTTAAAGCAAAAATAGTACCACTTCTCTACCAAGTCATGGGATAAACATTCAACAGTTATGACATGCTTTGAACAGTCATTTCTTTGAGTACAGTCAGAACTGGCTTCAAAATTACCCTTTCCAGATAAAGACTTCAAGTGGCAAGAATTGAGTACTGTGTTCTGTTCAAAGTACATCTGATTTAACCATTCCCAAAGCCACTAATCTAAATTCAAAGGCAACTTTCTTGAAAATATACACAGAATCTAAAAAACGTAACTGAAAAGTACCCTTCTCTTGGTTGTTTACAAGATGCCAATTTCTGAATCTAAAGAAAACCTGCACCTTCATACATCAGCATAGTGTCTGTATTAATTAGCTTCTCTTGAGAAGATTTCCAAAATTTAACCATTCAGAAAATCCTCTGTTTACATAAGAATTTCAATCTTATTTCAAAAAGCTAGAGCAGCCCAACCCAGTTAGTTGAGTTTTTTGCCTTATTGATAAAAGTATTTATCACAAGAGCATATTACTGAACAAAACAAAGTTATTTCAAGTTTGAAAACCGATGTTCACCTCAGGCACTTGATGGGTCAATGCTCCAGCTGTAAAATGCCAGGAAGAAACACAGCTGAAACATATTACAATGCTATGCCTCAAGTCAGAAATTACCTAGGCAGTTAGACTCTACTGCAATTACAAGTTAAATTACCATTTTCAAAATTGCAAATTTTTATTCATATTTTTTTCATATTTTATATTTATTTTTTATTTTTTATTTTATATTTTATATTATTTTTTCATATTTTTTATTCATATTACTTGTACAATTCCAAGATTTCACAAGTGTCGAGGAAACAAGAACTACTTCACACAAACTCATTTTATAAGAATTGAGTCCACGGAAGAGAGAAGCACAAATAGGACTGTGACACTGTTCAATTTAACAAAGTTCACAAAATTAAAATATTCTGCAAACTGGACCTTTGCTTACCTGGCCACACCAGAAGACAGTTCAGGCACCACAACCCTCCGGCTCCAAGCCACAAGGTCCCGCTCCGTTGCTATTTCACTTCTGGGTGCATTACTATGCATCTGACGCACACCTTCAATTTGCCCACTACGTCTTAACCCTATATTTGGTGGTGAATGAACTTCAGAGGTAGAACTTACAGATGCTAAAAAAAAAAAAAAAATAAAAACAAATTAAAAAAAAAAAAATCAAAAGGCAATAGTTGTACTTAACTGGAAATGGCTAGAGTAACATCCACAAAGAAAATTTCAAAATGATTGGAAAGAAGGAACAAGTTGTTTTTTTTTTTTACTTTTATTTCAGGAGAAAGCAAATATTAAAGCTATTCCTGTAACTTCCAAAGTTCTATAGGGCTGCAGAAATCCATTTTAAAAAGTCATTCCAAAAACAAATGGAAGCATCAACACTCAAGAGAAGTAAATTGTCATGTGTCTCATTGGTTCAATGTTCTTATAAAATGTCTTTGAAAATGTTTACAAGAAGACAATTTGTGCTACTGTTCTCTAAAATGATTTTATATTTAAAAAAAAAAAAAAAAAAATTTATTAAATTAGTTATTTTCTTAAAAAAATTTTTTCCTTCAAAAAAAAAAAAAAAAAAAAAAGCCACAATACTGCAAAGTACTAGGAATCCAAACTGTAAGATTTTCAAACAAGAAACCCAAATGATCAAAAACAAACAAACAAAAAAAAACCCTAAATATAACAGTAACAACAAAAAACTCCACACATGCAGCATCCTGCAAACACCCACAATCGTAGCAAAGATTCAAGTGTTTTTCCACAATTCACACACATTATTCTTGCTTATTCAGATAGATTATCAATCAAGATTCTTTTATTTTATTATTAATTTATTTTTTTAAGCATTGAGATCTACCCTGTAATCTACATTAAAATATGGAATAGCTATTATGAGATACAAGTAACCTTTTCCTTCTTTCTTCCTTCTGTTTCCTTGTTTGAGACAATTCAGATTTCCTTCAAAAAGATGGGCAATTCCAGATTAAACTGCAGAATAGTTACACCTGAGGGAACACAGCCACTGCAAATCCTCTGAGTGAGCACACAACTTCAACAAAGATAGTTTTGTCATGTGAAGAATTATGAAGTTTTGCAGAAGTAGAAAAACAACAGACAGGAAAAATGAATAATGTTCTATCATTCTGCACTTCTTCCCTAGTGGCTCAACAAAATCATACAGCACGATATGCAATTAGCATTTTTCCAACTTTCAGATGGTTCAGTTGGAAAACCAGAACACCCTCACCACAGGTGTGTAATTTACCTCTGTTTATCCGGCTGGTAGTACTAGTTCCTGCCTCCCCAGAACGCCTCTGATCTTGCTCTTGCTGAAGTCTTTGAATCATGCTATCCAGTGGGCTAACTTCTTGGTTTGCTTGTTGGCTAAGGACTTGATTCAATCCTGTGGAAATAAAACACACAAATATTAAAGAACCTTGTATCACAAACTGCTCATCTAAGTTTTTGGCTTTCAAATTTACAAGTACAGTACACAATAATTCGATTAAGTATTGCCTAAGCGTATTTTTAATAGTCTTTTCCTTGGTGTTCTTGTTTGTAAAATAGGATAACTTTTTCTTAAGTTCTTGCATTAAATTTCCTGTAGCAGGGTGAAGGTGACCCAAATTCCAAGAAAAGTTTAAATTTGATCAAGTGCAATCAAAATACAGAAGCTTAACACAACTTTTGTTACCTTTAATCAGTGTAAACCAAACGTTACACAGCACTGGAACAGGCTGCCCAGAGAGGTCATGGAGTGTCCCTCTTTGGCGATATTCAAAATCCACCTGAACACTTTCCTGTGTGACCTACTGTGACATGTTTTTGTAGGGGGGTTGACTAGATGATCTCCAGAAGTCCTTTCTAATGCCTAGAATTCTGTGATTCTGTGAACTGTGTGCTCAGCCTGCCCAAATGCATCACAGAACACTTTAATCAAAACTTCAATTGAACACACGGCGGGGTGGAGCCTGGGCAATTCTTGTCAACAGAAGCAGAACTTGCAAAATTTCGTAATGAGGGGTAAAAGTATTCAAAGAAACAAGCTACAGAAACTATTTTCCAAGTATCATCAAAAGAGATATCGCGGTATAAACTTTGAAAGATGAAATACTCAATATTACAGCAATTTTGCTACAAAATACATAGCTTTGACTGTGGCAAGAAAGAAACCACACTGATTACGCTATGCAGTAAGAACAGAAATATTTAAGAGTGCTCTCAGTTTTTAAGTTGGTTTACTTGCAGTCAACTTTGCCGAAGCAGCAGAAGTTTGAAATCATGGAGTGAACTCTGGTTTAAACACAGTTGGATATTCTCTGACATGTGTAGCAAGGCAGTCAGATTTATTCGGTGAACTCATAAGTAGACATACTGTCTTATGAAAACAGTTGGAAATACTACAAATAACCCCAAACTGATCTTAAAAAAAGAAAAAAAACCAAACTGCTTCCTTTTCTCCACCCGTATTTCCACATGGACCACATCTAGGTAGTATTCTACACAGTGACAGACTGAACATACTCCTGTTCATCATGCACAGTACATGTGTGCTGTAAGACTTCAGAAAAATGTCGTAGATTTTCCATCCTTATCAAAACTTGAGAGTTCTCGTAACAAATCAAAGTTCAAGTACAATGACTGACTTTATCTACAGAGGAAAAAGACTTGTATGTTCTGTATTTTTCTCTTCTTTCAGGTGTTACCTGTCACAACTGATCTGTGGAGGAAGACCTGACTTTTAGACTTTTTGATGTAGGATATCTTAAACCAAAGGGATCAACTGAAACCTCATTCCACATCATGCTGTTTTCAAAATGAAACAAATTCCAAGCTAACTCATAGTGTAGCATCAAGTAGTATTAATCTGACTGATGACAAACAATTACTTGTCTGTCACAAGCAATCAGTGCCAGAACAATGCAGTTTTTCAATGTTATATGAACTACTACTCCCAAAAATGAAGAAAAAGAACATAATGAGAGGGAAAACGTATAACATCTACAGACAACTACAAATGCTACAATGTACCAAATTGAAGTTTTCCATACCTGAAGATGTCACTCCCATCTGAGGAATAAGCTGTTCCTCCCTGCAGTTTTCACGACCAGGAACCAGCCTTTGATACCTTGCAGGATGCGGGTTGCCATCCACATCAACCAAAAATGGGGGAGGCATAAGGTGTGGAGCCTGCTGTGTTTGTTCATCCAGGACAAAGTTGTTGGCATCACGGATAAGGGGCCGATAATCACTATGAAAGAACATCTGATCTGCTATCTGTAAACAAAGTCATTTTGTAATATATATATATATATATATATGTATGCATATATGTATTTTTTCAAAATGACTACTAATAAACACACTGAAGAAAATACTGACAAAAATCTTTTTATCAATGTCACTGGTGGTCATAAGCATAAGCAAGACTGCTCTGTTTATCTCACCTTACAGAGGAAAAGTGACTATCTTCCAGCATTCACTTTCTATATTCTCACCACAAAAAAAAAAAAAAAATTGCAGGTTTGATTATGGAGAGCACTTGAACAGACAAATGGGGCAATTTTTACATACTTGTAGATGTTCGATGGAACACAGCATTGACATAAAAAGGTCACAAATTCTCACATACACGTATCTGATAATGTAAACTAAGCCATAGGCTTATGAACTCTGGTGTAAGAAGAAGAGAATAAGGAAAATATTTATCACATTGCATCACTCCATATATTTTATCACCAGAAGTCAGACTCACAATTTTTACTATAGTACAAAATACATCTGAAAGTTGCAGTAGCTAAAATAAAGCTAATTTGAAGCTGAAATCTTCAACTTCAAAATTATTTCAGTCCACTTGCTCATAATTTATTCTAGTTGATAATCCACAGACACTGCAGATTAAGGAATTCTGTTGTCCAAATAGTATGTAAAAAGGCTTTTGGAATCACCTTTCACTGGCACACATATCTCAACACTGCATTCAGAAAGACACTGAATCACAAGGAGAAAAGAGAACAGAAGACAAATGGCAACATATACTACACATTCCAGCACTACTTACTGACAAGCAACCCTCTTGGTAATGCACACTCAGTTTAACTTTTAACAAGTAGAAGTAAAATCATAAAGTCATGATTTACTCATAAAAAGATTTCCAGCGCAGAATAAAAATAACTGAGCAAATGAATGAAGGCATAGAGAACTCGAAAAAAAAAAAATTCTCTTAGGTGTTAAAAGACAGATATTCTAGCACAGTCAAAGGAGTGCCCATGCAGAAAACATTCTGTTTTCTGAATATGCTCTATCGTGAACAATTCATAACACAATTTCCTGTAATCTGTTATGTAGAAATCAGTATTGCAGATGTTAGAGCATCTGGAACAGATCATGTTCAGAGGTCTACACTCTCAATGAGGGGACGTAAGAAGACAAGGAAAGAATCAAACATGTCAGTTACAGAATCAGCAAGTAGCTACATGTACTTACACAATGCAAATTTAGAAAAATAAATGTGGGATCTGGACCCCACACAAATTCAGAAAAGTTACACCAGGAAGAAAATTCAAAAGATGCATGGAAAGCTACAGAATAAAAAAAAAATTTACTTCAGGATTCAAAGGGTAACCCTTATAAAGTACACATGGACAAGGCAACATCCCTCATCAATAAGAAGCCCTGGATGAAAGTAAGCAGTGCCTCTGTTTACAAAGGCTGAATGAGAAAGATGCATTACAGTCAAAGCTTACTTTGTTCCTTCAGCTCAGCAGCTAGCTCGACATGATAAAGATATAGGTCCTTTATGAGGATTTTGCCCAGAATGTAACTGTAGAGTACTACTTTCACCTACTGCAAATTTTCCTATTAAGTATTTCCCACACTAAGAAAGATTCCAATGGTAAGATTGTTCAGATTGTGAACTTCAATATGCTTTACTACGTTGATGGACTCTAACGTGTTTTATTTGGTTGTATAGTGCTGTCTACATCCCAAGCTTAAAAAACTTCATGACCAAGTGGAGATCTGGAAATTCTTCCTCTCACATCCAGCATCCTCACAGCATATCCTCATGATCTCTGACACAAGATCATAAGGGACCTCTTCGCCATAACCTTTAATTTGTATTCTGCAATGCAATCAGATATGGCAGAGAGTAAACAATTTTTTACTCCATGATAAGAACAGCACCCAAAACCCAGGCTCAGTGCCTGGGTTTGGACAGAATTCCTCAAAGCACCTATTGGAACCTCAAGAATGATCTTATCTTCAGGCTAGTTTGGGTCCAGAGAAAAATCAGAAGAATTTAGGGAATCTCAAATGGCTACATTCATTTGCTAACACATCCAGCAGTCAAACCGAAGTATTAACGAACAGATCTGCTTCCTGATAAACTTTTAGAGATTAAATTCATACATACATACACGCACACACAAGATTATACCACCATTAGGACATACAAGTCCTTTGAATTTCATGCTACTTGCTTCAGGTGAGAAAACTTTCCACAAGGTCGGAGCTGTACAAGAATTAATTCTTTGGTAACTACACAACACACATGCCGAATGTTCAGTTTCTCCAGATGGGTACACATACACAAATGCAGAGATTTTTTCATTACTGCACCTATGCATCACACAAGAGCTGTCAGCGAGAAACAAAGAACTGTGGTTTGAGCAATCAACATGGAAGTACTGCATCTTCAGGTTCATTATTCCTCTCTAGTGAAGTTTCTATCTATGCAAGAACTTCAGAAGTGTGCATGGGCTCATCTGTGAGCTCAGCTCATCCCTGATGATCTTCACGCAGTCAGAAATTCAAAGAATTGATCTGAAATTGGCTCAAGTTCCATTAAATGGATCAAATACTAAAGGAGCCAAAAGTGAACAATAAGCATAGTCCCTTTTTGAAAATCAAGAGCCTGCTCATAGCAAAGCTGACAAGATTTCAGCTAGAATCATTGCCCTGAACAGATCTCACAAATGTAAGAGTGCAGAACTGGTTATTGTGCTTCTTCATCCTGTAAAAAATCATTCCCTAAGATGCATGGAAACCATTTTTAAGCAAAACAAACAAACAAACAAAAAAAAACCAACAAAACAAACAAATAAAACCAACCCTGTACTTCCTACTAGCACTTATTCTCACACGATATCTGGGAAATCAGACTAAAACCAGCACCCAATTAAATCAACAAAAAACAAGGAGCTGAGAGGTGGGGCATCAAAAAAACAGAGCACCAAATCCCCAGCACCTACCAATATATATTCACTTTGCTCCATAAGGCAGGAAGACAAAAATAAAAGAAGAATTGGAACAAGAAATGAAAGAGATCTGTAACTTCTAAGCTGACATTTAAGATGGAGATGCAAATCCTGTGTTTCCATTTCTTCTATGGTCAGTAATGACAGGATTACAACAGTAGCAGCTGAAGAGAACAATTTTAAATCACAAATAACTTCAAATTTTTGAACAATCTTTTCTTGCAGACTGCAGATAAAATTCCAAAGACCAAAAGGTCTGTAATATTCAAGGTGTGAAAATTGTTTTTTTTCAAACACGTCAAATCCCTCACAAGGAATGTTTTCAGACAGTTATGTAACAGAGACTCTTGGTCCACCACAGCAAAGACAACAATTGCTTTTTGCTCACACTTCATTTCCAACACTTATGAGTTTCAGGGGATTAAGCACTACCAAAATGATTGGAGAGAAAAAGACTAATTAATGAACACAGTGACAATAATCACATCAGGATTTAAAGTTTAGAAGAATAAGAACACTGAAAGACAGAAGGACCTGAAAACTGATCTGATAATGCCAGTTTTCCTTGCCTGTGGCAAAGCCTGTGCCTTTCCTGCTCCTGTTTGTCTTCCCTGAAACGAAAGGGAAAATGCTCTGGTGGATTGAGCCATAGTAACGGTTACAGTTGCTAGCCTCCAAATAAGTGCTTCAAGTTATAGTTGAGAAACATAATCATAAAATATTCTAACACATGATGCTGCTGTAACTGACATCAAAATAAGAGCTAGAACACAAAATAAATAATTGCAGTTGTTTGTATGACAAAGATTAAAACTGCTTTTGTTATCTCTTCTTCAGGCCCCTCTTCACTAATATTTGACATGGTGCTTTTAAGGCCAGTCTGAGTCAAAAGATCCACAAGTGGAAAGCAAAATCCAGAAGCCAGCATTTCAACAACCTGTAAGTACTAGATACCAGGTGCATATATGAAAACCTTGGGACAGTTATCTCTGTTTAAGCCTAGAAAAGGAAAGAGACATCACCTCATTTCTGGGTGATAAAAGAAAAACTCTTAAGTAGGACTCCTAACTAGTAACCTACATAACTCAAAGGACATGCTCATCAACAGGGAAAAACAAACCACCACAAATTATTTACAGTCATGAGGGTCTGCTGCAAGGCACCTGCACTTAGAATAATGCTGAGTATAGTCTTAGAATAAAGATGTAACATTTTAATCACACAGTAATGGTAAAGCATTGCCATGTAAGCACCATGGCATTCCTTGACAGCAGAAACACAGCAGACAATTTCTTTTTTTTTTTTTAAGCTAGAATATATAATACATTTGCAGTAACATAATTGTCACTCAGGCTACGCAGTGCTTCAGTACAGATACAGGAGTTGGTTCTATTACACCTCCCCACATTTTTCATCTTAGAAACAAGAAAAATACTTAAAGCAAAATATCTAACTATTTCCAATTCCACTACCCATTATTCACGGAGATCCAAAAGGACACTGGTAACCTCACTAATTTCACTGAGCAGAGTGACCGGGTGATTTTTTATTTTAACTTGTAATTTCCCATGCAAATAAAACATGCTTGACAGCATGTATCTGTAGTTGAAAACAAAAGACAGTGAAAGAAAACAGTGTTAACAACAACAGGAGTCACACATTCATAACTGAAAAATGAGTTAATGATGCACTCTCTTGAGCTGAAGCTGTAACAAGGTTTGTATAAACACATTCAAAACAGATAAACATTTTGACACATATCTTGTACTGTACCTTGTCATATTTGCTACTGGAACCAAAGCCAAAAATCAGAAGGTGACCGTGAGAATCAGTACATGCAAAATGCTGCCCATCAGGAGAGCACTTGCAGTCAAAAACTGCACCATGTCCTTGTCCTTCAATCTGAAATACATCAATATACAAAATGATTAAGTTACCAGAAACAAATTGTTGTCAATTATGATTAGCAAAACTGTGATGCTGATGTTGAAATTTATATAAAATCTGCAAGGTAGTGTACTGCTAGATGGAAGTTCCTTTAAAACAGCTTACTTTTTTGGCTATTCGCTTTCCATTGGATTTTTAGAGTAATGCTCATGAAAGATGCCAAATTGATAGTAGTAGAAACTGACAGACTTAATCCACAAAGCAGGCACAGTACAGGAAGTGAAAATAAAAGCTTCCCCTTTGAATGTCCTGCTAATAAACCTAAACAGAGAGCTGGGTCCAGTTCAGGGCTTTAGTCACTACACCATTTCAATCCTCTGCCTCTTTGCTAAGCTAGCCCATAGCAATGGCTGCTGTGGTGCTTCAGGACACCTGCCCACTACAAAACACACTGACATTGACAACCCACATTACACAACTTAGCAACTGCCTCTTTCTGTAATTCCTACTCCTAATTTATCGGAGTGGGGGAGGTTTTGATTTTTGTAAAAACTCCACTTTTTAAAAGGAGAACTGCAAAGATTTTAAAAAAGGAATTTTTACCTGATACTCATTTTCTGTTTTCCAGTTCCTTTAAGCCAGAACAAATGGGTTTTTGTTTTTCCCTGCAACCTGTCAATCAAGCAGAGGTGACCAATCACCACTCTGAATTTTCACGTCTTCAGCACCTCTTCAGAAAGCCCCTTTCTATTCTCCCCAGTAAAGGACTTCTGCATTTTCTTTAAGGAAAAGAAAAAAAAAAAAGAAAAAGAAAAGAAAAAAAAAAAGAAAAAAAAAAGTAATTCTTTCCCTAGCTGTGGAGGGCCTATGTACTGCCAGAACAAACAACAGTATTCAGCCTGCACGCAGAAGCACTATATACTTCAACAGCACCTTCCAGGGGCCATCAGCATTACTTCCAAAGTTAATGAACTAAGCCTCAAAAATCCTGTGAAGCAGGCAGTGCCTTCACTAAATTGCAGACTGAGACTAAGGCAAGAAGTCCATTTCTTTTGCCCAGAGTCCTGCAGCATTCCTGCTCCCCTGCACACCCTCCCGACAGTAAAGGCTGCTACACCTATGACCAGGGCTTCAAACATTTGACCAAGGTCTTTCCTACTACAAGTACTCTCCATAAAAGTTTCTGGATTGGGATAAAAGGAACATAAATCAATTCAAGTTTTATGTTCTATTTTGCCCATTATTCCAGAAGGAACAAATTCTTAATAGAAGTATCCTACAGACAAAGATGGAAAATAAAAACAGAGCTTCAAGTGAGTGGCACTAACATTGCAACAGCTAAGAACGCAGAATTACTCCAGGCTAAGCAAGATCCAACAACAAGGCAAAATTACAACTTTGTGCTGCTTTTTGCATGCAGAAAGCTCATCTTATTCAAGGGAGACGGTATGGAGAGGCAGATAAAAAGGGGAAGGAACTCCATCCCAAGTGCAAGCTTTACAGATGTATAGGAAAAATCTCAAAAAGAAGTACATACATAAGAGACTGCTGACTCCCTTACCCCAACAAAAGAAATATAAAAGTATCAAGCCTCCTAACATTCAAGTTCTTCCAGGGTCCTCCTATAGAGCCCAAGAATTGAAGACTTTGTTTCACAAGGAAAACAAAGCATAACTAGGGACGAACTACTTGCTAACTACTGGGGGGGGGAGGGGAAACTTAAAAACAGAAGGAAAATAAATCTGGATCTTAGATTGTTTTTTACTTTTAATTCTTCCCAGCAAGAAATGGCTTAGATGGACCATTTTCAAGAAATTTCATGTATGAAATTCATGAGTGAAACATTATTTGGAAGACATTCCTTTATATAAGAAAGAAAATACAGTCATTTACTTATTCAGTAATTAGTACAGATTAAACAGTTTCACTGTAAATATGGTCAGAATCTGGTGTAAAACATGCTTATAAAAAGTACAGAACTAGGATTGTTTAGTACAACCCCTCAAGTGTGGTGTACCACTACTTGGAAATTAAGACCTTTAATATTACAAAAACAAAAAGTTACTCTTAGTGATAAGCTTCCAAGGCACAATTGCTATTAAAAGCAATTGGCAAAGCCTGCCAGAGTGTGATATCTAGTGTATATACATATACATATATATACACACACACACATAAAAATATTTTAATAAATTACACTCCACCATGGAATTCCTTTAATAATAAAGTTAACACAGGATTTGGTCACCTGGAACAGAAACTAAACATTAAGTTGCAAAAGGTAAAGCTGAAATAAATCAATGAAGTTCTAACTTTGGCAAGCTAAATGTAGGACTGAGCAAAAAGGAAGCCTTCCTCACTCCATCCCTTTTAAGTCAAAGGTACGAGTACTGTCTGAAGACTGCATCTCAAACAAAGTGAAATGTTTTTTTCCTTTTTAAAACCTTTCCTTGCTGAATGAGAGGATATCTGTGGCAGGGAGAAGACACCACCACCATGAGAACAAAAAAGCACACTGATTAATTAAGAGCTGCCCATACAGTGTGAGGACTGCCAATAAGTCAGCACATTAAGACACTTGTTAGCAAAGCAAGTAGCAAAGATTCTTCAGTTACAAACAAGGAAGAAATTCAGGCGCATACAAAGAAGAATAAGGTAAGATTACTTTTATTATCAACAACTCCGAGAATTATGCCGTTTGCCTGCGTTTTCATTTGCAAGGAAACAGAAGGACATCAGAATGTCAAAGAGAGGAATGTTGATTAAGAATGAAAATGGACAGCTATTCTTTTCCTCTCGGTTCAAAAGAGTTTGTTGTTGTTAAACCAGAGATAATAGTTCTGAAACTACAGTATAAAGAAACGTCTTAGATCCTCAAAGTAGTTTCTTGTTTCAAAAATGGAGAAGTACCTAGAAAAAGAGAGAAGATGGAGCTTTTTTGACCCATTATCAATAGTTAGTATGAACGACTTAGAAGCTACTTAAGGAACACACAGCACATGCGGTAGAAATCACAGAATCACAGAATGGCCTGGGTTGAAAAGGACCACAATGATCATTGAGTTTCAACCCCCCTGCTACATGCAGGGTCGCCAACCAGCAGACCAGGCTGCCCAGAGCACATCCAGCCTGGCCTTGAATGCCTCCAGGGATGGGGCATCCACAACCTCCTTGGGCAGCCTGTTCCAGTGCATCACCACTCTCTAAGTGAAGAACTTCCTCCTAAAGAAGCAGTAGAGGTTACCAGAAAACTTAGCAGACTTCCTTCATTAAATTAACTGATTTTGTATGCCAAGAAAATAGAATTCATTTATTTAAAAACAAACAAACAAACAAAAACAGAAAACAAACACAAAACCTAGCTGGATTTCACAGGCACGGCACTGTCACGTGACATGGCACCTAATTCAAATGGAAGAAATTGTGATTGGTAGGAGAACTGTGCCATAGGCAAACTTACTAAGAATGGATAATAGTTTTTGGTTTTGAAGAAGACGCACAGAGCTAAAAGAATGCAAACAGCAAAGTCCCTCCATCCAGGTATTTCTATTAGAGACTACAGAAAAAAAAAAAAAACTGTTGATGAAATGAACATTAGCAAATCAACCACTAAGAATAGATGTGGGACACAGCAGCTGAAGCAATTAGAAGTCAACAAGAAAAAAATGCAGTAGGCCATGAACGTAGTAAGATTATTAGAAATAGTTTTCTAACAGAACTCTGCCCATGCACTTCTACCTATGCAGTTCCATCTCATCTTCCAGCACAAGTCATCAGCATCATTTTAAGTCAGTGAACTAAGTCTTCTCTAGTCTGAGGTAGATATTTTCCTTCACATTAAGAGACTGAGGCAATTAGTTGGAAACACAGGAAGAAAGATCACTGACTGCAAGGCATTACATATGATGCAACAACAAAAAGAAAACTATAATCCTAAAGCACACCAGAGGTACATCCAGACAAGGAAGAAAAAGCTCATACACGGCTAGACAAGTAGGCAATAAGACAAAAGAACTCTTCTAAAAGAATACAAATAATTTTTGCTTCTCATACTCACGAGAAGCAAATTCCAACTGCAACAGCTACAGAGAAATGTTTTCACTTATTGTGAGAATGGAAAACCTCAGAGCTCAGTCTCTTAGCACAGACACTAAGGAAAGAGAACACATATTCAGAATTCTTTAGCAGGAAGACTGCAAGCCTGCTAGAATGTTTGGGTACAATTGAAAACCAATTACAAGCAACATTCAAATTTGAGAACTAAAATTTAGATTCTTCCAATCACAACAACAATATGCCAGAACAACTTTCTAAAAATACCAATAAAAAGCAAAGATAATTAATTGTTATTAAAGCAAATAGACTCTTTTGTAAGTGTTGACACTATATTACAGCTGCTTAAATCAAGTCAATCTCGAGCTATTTGGGAAGTCTCCCCTTGCATATTTAGGTTCTCTTTTGCTCTAAGGAGCAATCTCTGATCTGTGATAAGCTAAAAAAATATCAGACTTCTTACCAAGTCCATTAAAATATCTTACAGATCACCCATGGGTGCTGGAACTTAGATAAATCTCCAAGAAGTATTTACAATTTCTTTTTTGTTACTAAATACTCTGCAAATTCAGTACTGTATTTCTTTTTGCTTTTTTTTTGTTTGTTTGTTTTTCCCCAAATTAACAAAGCATGATGAAGTCTTTACTCTTCCAGATCCTTTATATGTCTGTACATACTACTCAAAGGTGAAACCTTTCGAAAAGATTTCAGTAAGACTACAACTGACCAATTCAAAATCTTAAGTCGTTCTGTGTTTCAGATGAGGTCCAAGACTACAAAAATCTATATTATCCCAGTAAAACAGGAATTTTCTTCAGACATTATGAAGGCCGCTACATACAAAATAAATGGTTTTTAAATCTCCACTAATGCTGGAGATTACAATAGTTTGTCCATATGAGCAAGTGGCTTGCCTTTCCACATATTAATCCAAAAGAATCACCTCATATGGCAGAAACAAT